CTCACAAACTCTCTTACTCGAATGACGTCTTGAGTTTCTTAGAAGCTCGCGAGCAGTTCGAATCGAGCCCGAGAAGCTCGACATTTTTCACAAGCTTGAAGATGAGCTCGAACTCGTGAACTACTCGTTTCCCGACGAGTCGAGGCTTGATAAGAGCTTGAAAATACACATTTAGTTAGTAGTTTTGGGGGGATTAATTGTGAGAAATTAGGCTTAATTTGGTAAAATTGCTTAATATTTTCATAATTGCCTTTTATGGGATCACGGGTGTTTTTGAGTGTTTTTCAGCTTACTAGTGTTTAAATGTTATGCTTGGATGAAGAATCATGTTGGCAACGGAATGAGTGACGAGTGGAAACAAACGGATCAAGAATCGGAGTTGAATTGAAGAAGTTATCGAAGTTGAAGTAAAGAGAAGATTCTACATTACGTTCCAGCTTGCACATACCTTGGTATTTTGATAATATCTTGCACTCTAGAACTCGAATTAAGACTATTCTTGGACCGTTGGAAAGCGGATTCAAAGGGCTACATTTCATATGTTTACAACTTTTCCAAATTCCATCGTTATCAAGTTCAAAAATCAACATCTCTAAAGAACACTTTTTCTATTAGCTACAGTGCCGCGGCACAGTCACAGAAGTTACTAACTTGTTATCCGTTTTTAGGTAGGAGAATAGGGTTAAGGGTTCTAAATCAAAGAGAATTAAGGGAAAACAAAACCCCAACTGTGGGATATAAATAGAAGTCTTTTAGCATTATAGGGGGGATTCTTTTGGTTAGAAGAAATGGAGAAAAATTTGCAGAGAAGAGGAGTAACAGAAATTATGGAGCTTTGATTCACAATATAGAGAAGTTTTCCTTGTTCTTTCTTGTAAACTCATGATGAATGTTTTAATAAAGATGATTGTTTCTTTCATGTTTATTATGAACTAAATTTATTCTCTAGGGCTAAGATGTAGCCTAATCTCTTAATTATGTATTGATCTTTGATTGTTAATGTTTATTAAGAATTTTTCCTAAGTTTTACTATTATTCCTAATGCTTTTGATTCTTAAGGGCCCAAGAATTGAATGAACTAATGGACTAAGTTGAGATCGAGAGATGATACTTAGTTGGTCTACAGTAGTAAAACCATAGGTTGAGTGAACGCTAGAGATAGGTTACCGCGACTTGTGAGGTTTTGGTAAACTCCATAGAGCGTAATGATCCTCAATTGCTTAAATCTAATTAGAGATAATTCGGGTTAGTAATTAGGGGTTAATTTGATAATTGTTCTAGAGAAAGTTATTGGAAATTTAGGGAGTTTGACCTGTAGGAAGAGTTTAACAAAATTAGCATAAGAGATCGATACATATGAATAAGAGTTGGTGTAAAATCTATGCCCTAGGTCTAGTCATCTTGTTTTTACCCAAAGGTTTATTTTAATTGTTCTCTTTTTAATTTCAATTGTTAATTTTATTTAATTTAGGTTTTCTTTGATAAAATTTGGATTGATCAAATAGTAATAGGATAGTTAATTTGGTAATTGAAAATATTAATTCCCTTGGGTTCAATATCTGTATTTATACACTTTATTACTTGCACAATTTCGTACACTTGCGAAAATCTACAACAAGGTTGAGTTCGTCACGAGTCAATTTCAAGTAGCTCAGGAGCTACTCAGTTCAACTGCACCCCTAAGTGTGATGGTTGGTTGATTAATCTGAGCTTTCACTACTTTTATAATCTCGATTGAGATAAAAAAATATACCAAGTGAAAATCTAGTCTATATGTAGATGGTAATTAGTAAGTTCTAATTAATCTATTAAATGAACAAATTTAAGTTAAAAGTATTCTGATTACAAGTATAGATGCCAAAAGGAAACACCTTGACATCCATGTGGTACAAAGATTGCATATTCTACAAATTTCTCTAATCAGGTAGTTTTTATAATCAAAACACTATAATTATCTTTGGGTGGTCGAGTGGTTTAATAGGGACTCGTGTGTGTATTACTCAAGAGATCCTGAGTTTGAGTATTTTCTCAATTGCTAATAGGGGTAGCTGCAAGAGCTCTTACCTAGCAGTAGTTCCAAGGTCCTGAGAGATTCATTTAGGTCTTAGAAAGACTTTGATTATATATATATAATATCAGTAAAAGAGACACATAATAGATTGACTAGATCTAGCCAAACCTTTGCCCTTTCAAGCTAAAATCTAGGGCAAAGGCTTTGGATGCGTTTGTTTTAGTATTTTGGATCGTATTTTTGAAGAAGTAAGAGTTGGGTGGGAATAACGAGGTAGAATTTGAAAATGAATAAAAACACTCCCTAGGTTTGTTAATTTACTAAACACTCCCGTAATAAAAACATTAAAAATTACAAAAACATCCTCACCCACCCATTAAATACCGGCTATCAGCCACCACTGCTGGAGAGTGGCCACAGTTGCCATATCGGCCCAGGATCGGCTAGATATGGTCGGTCATGCGTTGATATGGCCTTTTCCAGCTAGATCCACCGTGGATCTGGTTGCAAAATGCCAGATCTATGGCTAGATCTGGCCATTGACGGCCAGATCTGGCCACATTTGGTCATCAACAACGACCATATCTTGGCCGTCATTGACGACTAGCTACGGCCACAAATTTGGCCTTTTTTGGTCAGATACACGGTAGATCTGGTCGAAAAAGGTTATATCGGCACACTCCCATCGGTAGTGTGCCATTATACCAAATTCTGGCTACCTTCCGGTGGTGGTGGTTGGAATCTGGCAAATGTGGGTGGTGGGAGTGTTTTTGTCAATTTCTAAACTTTTTTTGGGGAGATGTTTAGTTAAATTAACAAACTTAGGGGATTTAAAAAATAATTGAATAAAATATAATAGTTTTTTTTCATAATAGGAAAACAAATATGTATTTTGAAAATGATAGAAATAAGATAGGGGAAAAATATTGAAACAAACGGACCTTTGATAATTTGATTGGTAACATCAAAAGTGTACTTGTTCCCTAATGAGGTTTACCCCTATTTAATCATAATGGCTTTCATTTTCATCATTTTATATCAATGTTAATATTTGGTTTTGAAAATTGAAAGGAGAGGAAAATAAGAAACATATAGAATTTAAATGAGTATTTAATAGCAACTTGTATTTATAGAACAAAGCATATTAGAAGCTAGAGCTGGGCATTTGGGACCGGGCCCAAAAGCCCAGCTCTAAGACCCGGTCCTAGGATCGGTCCTTGAGAGGACCGGACCTAGGAGGCCTGGTCCCAAAACGGGACTAGGCCTAAGGAGGAGGGCCCTCCTCCGGTCCCAGGCCCGGGCCCAAAAAAATTTGTATTTTTTCAATGTAGTCCCCTGCCAAATTACATAAAACTCCCTATTAATTTTAAATAGATATAAATTACGAGGGCTAAAATAAAATTTTATAAAATTTATTAAAAAAAAAATTTTCCAAGTCTAAAAAATTTATAAATTTTACCCTTAAAAAATACTAAAAACCNTAAGAGGGGCACCCATCTAAAAAATTTTAAAACTACATAGACATCCATTTAACAAATTTTAAAACCAAAATGATTGAAGCCCGTCGGTATGTGCATCCATTTCATATGTTTATACATTTGTACGAACTTTTCTTGATCGTCAATTAATTATGAATTAATATTAATCAATGATTAAGATTATATCACGTTATTCCATATATAAACTCGGTGTGTCTTTTTATAACTGTAGCATTATTGGTCGGTTAAAGGGAGAACGACTTATACATACCCAATATTTACCGAAATGACAAGTTGGTACCCAAAAGGTTTTGAAACGACAAATGGGTACCTTCCGTCATGTTCTGTTAGTGATTTTCGTTTGATAATAGTGAAAAGACTAAAATGCCCTTGAAAGTTTAATTTTTAGTTTTTTATAAATTTAAAAATTTCTAAAAACCCCCTAAGTTTGCTAATTTGACTAAATGACCCAATATATAAAAAGTTTATAAAATAACAAATACACCCCCGCCACCCACAGTGCCAGATTCCGGCCACCATCGGCGGAATCTGGCCGAAAAATTGTGTTACGACACAGAACCGTCGGATCTGTGTCGTAACACACCGATCTGGCATTTTCCGACCAGATCCGCCACGGATCTGGCCGGAAAAGGCCAGATCTACGTCTGGCCTTTTTCGGCCTCGACGGCCAGATCTGGCCTTTTCCGGCCAGATCCTCCACGGATCTGGCCGGAAAATGCCAGATCGAGGTGTTACGACATAGATCCGATGGGTCTGTGTCGTAACACAATTTTCTGGCGAGTTCCCGGTCTCGACGGCCGTAGATCTGGCCTTTTCAGGCCAGATCAGCCACGGATCTTGCCGGAAAATGAAAGATCTACGCGTTACGACACAGATCCGATGGGTCTGTGTCGTAACGCAATTTTTCGGCAAGGTTCCGGCGACGGTGGCCGGAATCTGGCACTGTGGGTGGCGGGGGTGTATTTGTTATTTTATAAACTTTTTATATATTGGGGTATTTAGTCAAATTAGGAAACCTGGGGGTTTTTTAGAAATTTTTAAATTTATAAAAAACTAAAAAATTAAACTTTTAAGGGCATTTTAGTCTTTTCACTATTATCAAATGAAAATCACTAACAGAACATGACGGAAGGTACTTGTTTGTCGTTTCAAAACCTTTTAGGTACCAACTTATCGTTTCGACAAACCTTGGGTATCAATAAGTCGTTCGCCCTCGGTTAAATTACCAATGCCACGGGTGTGAACGTTCCTCATAGTCCACTTCACTTGAGAATCCCATTCACTTGCTCTTGTTACTTTGGGTTAGTGTAGTCTATGCTTTTCCAGCAAGCATTAGACAAAGATTCCACATGCCTAGATTTTATAACCATTAAAAATTTTCTTGGTCGCCAAGCATATAGTTTTCCAATATCTGTAAAACCATTAAAAACTTTCTTGGTCGCTAAGCATAGAGTTTTTCAATATCTATAAAAACCATATATAATAAGCTTAACAAAATTTCATTCTGAAATTTGCGATGCCATCCAACATGTTCTCTGTTTCAGAAATGCCTCAAACAGTGTCCTCATTGTTCTCTGCCTATGCCTCTTTAGCAGGAACAATGATGCTGTTGAGGTCTATGGCCAACGACTTCATACCCAACCAACTTCGCTCTTTAGTTTCCTCACTTTTTTACTATCTCTTCCCTCCTCTTTCTAATACCCTCTGTTTAGTCATTGACCAGCAGATGGGAATGTCTCCAAATCAAGTCTATGACGCTGCTGAAATCTACCTACGTACCAAGATCAGTCCTAAAACTGAACGTCTTATAGTCGGAAAATCCACCAGACAAAACCACTTCACTGTTTCAATAGACAAAGGCGAAGAAGTCTCTGACTGTTTTGAGAATTTTCAACTCAAGTGGCAATTCATTTGCACCCAACCTGAAAATAATAGTTATTCAAGCGAAAAGAGACATTTTGAACTGACATTTAACAAGAAACATAAAGAGACAGTGATGAATCGTTACTTGCCTTATGTTTTGGAGAAAGCAGACGAGATAAAACAGGAAGAAAGAGTGGTGAAGCTTTACAATCGCGACTGTCCGTATGATGATGAGGATGGAGGGGGTTGTGGCATGTGGGGTTCCATCAACCTTGAACATCCCTCTACTTTTGATACATTGGCATTGGAGCCGGAATTGAAGAAGATGATTATTGATGATTTAGATAGGTTTCTGAGGAGAAAAGAGTTTTATAATAAAGTTGGCAAGGCCTGGAAACGTGGGTATTTGCTGTATGGTCCTCCTGGCACTGGTAAATCCAGTTTGATTGCCGCCATGGCTAATTACCTGAGGTTTGATGTATATGATATAGAGCTTACAAGTATATATTCCAATTCTGACTTGAGGAGAATTTTGTTGTCCACCACGAATCGTTCTATATGGGTGATTGAGGATATAGATTGCAGTGCTGAGGCGCAAGACAGACAAAATGGTGACGGCTATGAAGATTCAAAGGTTAGTGTTTTCTTTGTTCATTACTTAATGCAGTGAAATGTTAAATTTATATCATGTACTGAAAGTGTTTTATTATGGTTAAATTACTGCAGTTGACACTGTCTGGGATACTCAACTTCATTGATGGTTTATGGTCGTGTTGTGGTGATGAGCGAATCATAGTGTTCACAACCAATCATAAAGATCGGCTTGATCCTGCTTTGTTGCGACCTGGTCGAATGGATGTACACATCCACCTGTCTTATTGCACTGTAAATGGGTTTAAGCTCTTGGCTTCTAATTATCTCGGCATTCAGGACTCATCTCACCCACTATTTGGAGAAATTGAAGACCTTATTCAGAGTATAGAGGTCACCCCAGCACAAGTAGCAGAGGAACTAATGAGGAATGATGATGCTGATGCTGCTCTTCAAGGACTTGTTAATTTTCTTAAACGTAAAAATGAAATCAAGAATATTGAGGTGAGGGGTGAAAAGACTAATGAAATTGAACTTGAAACCAAGCAGTCGATAGCCGATGTTGACCACCAAAAATCTGTAAGAAACAAGAGAAGAAGGAAAAGAAGAAATAGCCGGCGATCAGCCACCAAGTGTAATTGAATCATGTATCAAATAATATGAAGCAATGTATAGGAAAAGAAGAAATAGCCGGCGACCAGCCAGCAAGTCTAATTGAATTATGTATCAAATAATATGAAACAATGTATTGTGCACTTTGAAGTATGTGTGTTTCAGTACAATTTATTTGATTTTAACAAAATCCCAGATTGTCTTTGACATTAGAGAATCGAATTCATCCCTCTTTCTTAAATACTTAAAACCATGGGGCTGTGCCTGAAAGTTTCCAAGAATCAACCAGTGAAATGGGAGGAAGCTTCTTAATTTCTTAAACCGTGTTGCGATTATATTAAAGAGATTCGGTTCTGTCTACTTGACTGACTGGGTCTTGTACATGGCGTTGACCATAAGTCCATCCTCAGATTACCATAAAACCCTTCTGCTTAAGGCCACAAACTGGTTCGCATTTATTTTTTACTCATGAATATTTTTGTAAATTAATGAAGAGAGATATCTTCTTCTTCTTCCCTAAAACTTCTCTATTTCATGGGTTTTGGCCTTGTGTCATTATAGGTCCTCCGTTTTCATTTGACCGTTGATTTGCAGTTTCTTTGGAGAAATACCATAGATACCCCGGAATTCTTTTGATCGTCGCTTGAAATTCTATTGTAAGTAACTTGAACTCTTTGATCTTATTCTCTTTCTGTTAATCTTGCTCTTAAAGTGAATGGTGAACAAAGCGTAATTACAAGAAAGTTAATCGTGAATAAAACCCAATTGCATCTTTGATGTAGGACTGACTTGTATCGTGATATCATTTTTTCTGCTCTTTGGAAAGAAATCAAAATCAAATGAATTTTATTCAGGCAATTATTCTTGTTTTGAGTTATACTTATGTTGAATTCTTGGGATTTTTTGTGTTTAGCAAGCTCATAAATACCAGCTTTCCAAATCGTGTTCCTTCTTTTTGGGTGTTGACTTGACTGGAACCGGAAGGAGCTTACATAGCATTTAATGGCTACAAATAGTTTATTCAGAGTCCATATAATGAGCTTAAACGACCCTTAACACCTTTACAATCTCAATTCCTACCTAGGAAGGGTTAAAGCCAATATTAGTTGTTTCATAGCGTTATATGAATTTCCTTACCCGTGATCTCAGTTAATGGTTCAAGCAGATCAATTTTCTTTATCCCTTCACTCGATAAATTTTTAACACTAATTTCGTTTTTCTTGCTTCAGATTTTCTGGGGAAGTAAAATGGTAGATGCAGTGGTGACTGTATTCTTGGAAAAGCTGCTTAACACACTTTCAGAGCAGAGTCGTTTCGTGAACGAATTTAGAGACCAGTTTAAGAGGTTAGAGAAGGAGCTCCAGTTGATGCAATGCTTCCTTAAGGATGCTGACAGGCACAAGAGGAAGAGTAAGAATGAAACTCTACGCCAGATCATGGCTAATTTGCGAGAGCTGATTTATGAAGCTGAAGATATTCTGGCAGACTGTCAACTCCAATCACAAGATGATGACCAACTCTCCAATAGTTGGTTGAATTGTATCTATCCTCCTAATCTTCAGTTCCAATATGGAACTGGAAAGCGACTCAGAGAGATAAATGAAAAGATCACCCATATTAAAGACGACATCTCATCTTTACTAAATATCCCACTTTTCAACCGGATGGAGACAAACGACATTTGCAATGGCCGAAGTGATAGATGGAGCGGCCCTGTATATGACCATACCCAAGTAGTTGGATTGGAAGGCGACACAAGGAAGATTAAAGATTGGCTTATTGAAGCAGAGGAGGGCATACTAGCGATCGGAGTTGTTGGTATGGGTGGTTTGGGAAAGACCACGATTGCTCAAATGGTCTTCAATGACAGAGAAATGGAGAATCGGTTTGAGAGAAGAATGTGGGTATCTGTTTCTCAAACATTTACCCAAGAACAAATTATGAGAAGCATGTTAAGGACCTTGGGAGATGCAAGTGTTGGAGATGATGGAGGGGAACTGTTAAGGAAAATTTCTTTATATCTCTCAGGCAAGAGGTATTTGCTAGTGATGGATGATGTCTGGAGTGAGAATACTGATTGGTGGCAGAGAATCCACGAGGGATTGCCAAAGGGAAAAGGAAGTAGTATTATCATCACTACCAGAAATGAAAAAGTTGCACAAAGAATGGGAGTGAAAGAAGAAAAAGTCCATCGGCCCAGATTCCTCAGTAGCGATGATAGCTGGTTGCTGTTTCGTAAGATAGCATTTGCAGCAACTGGAGGGGAGTGTATGTACCCTTTGCTACAGGATGTTGGAAGGGAGATTGTAGAGAAGTGCCAGGGTCTTCCATTAGCAATAAAGGCAGTTGGAGGGATGATGCTGTATAAAGCACCAACTTATCCTGAATGGAGGCGAACTGCAAACAATTTTCTAGATGAATTGTCAGAAAACGATGGCTCTGTCATGGCTTCACTGCAACTTAGTTACGATGAGCTCCCCTCATACCTTAAGTCATGCTTCCTCAGTTTCTCTCTTTATCCAGAGGACTGTGTCATTACAAAAGAGCAATTAGTCCACTGGTGGATTGGGGAGGGATTTGTCCCAGTAAGAAATGGTAGGTCATCAATTGAAGCTGGAGAAGATTGTTTCTCAGGGTTAACAAATCGATGTTTGGTAGAAGTGGTTGATAAGACTTACAATAAAACAATTAGTACATGTAAAATTCATGATATGGTTCGTGATTTGGTGATCAAAGCAGCAGAAGAGGATGCATTTTTCAGATCAAATGGTATGAGTTGTCGTCATTTGGGGATTAAAAGCGAGATGCAAAAGAAGCAGCTTATAGGTAATTCAAAGTTGCGAGCACTGTTGTCCACAACAAAGAGTGCTGAAGTGAACAACATTGCATCAAGCATTGCAACAAAATTCAGCGAATGTTGCTATTTGCGGGTTTTAGATCTTTCCAGATCAATCTTCGAAATGCCTCTCAAAGGTCTGTTGAATCAGATTGGTTCACTTCAACACTTGACTTGTCTTAGCTTAAGCAACACCCATCCTTTGATTCAACTCCCACCATCGCTAGAGAAGCTTAACAACCTTCAGATTTTGGATGTGAGTTACTGTCAAAACCTTAAAATGCTACCCCCTTATATTGTGTCATTTAAGAAGCTCAGAGTCTTAGATGTAAGCCATTGTGGTTCCCTTGAATACGTACCAAAAGGCTTAGCAAAGCTTTCAAACCTTGAAGTTTTGTTGGGTTTTAGACCTGCTAGATCAAACCAATTTGAAGGTTGTCGGATTTCTGAGTTGAGGAATTTGACTCGACTTAGAACACTTGGGTTGCAATTTACTTGTGGGGATGAGATTGGAGGTGATGAGGTCAATGCATTGATAAACCTTAATGAACTGCAATTTTTGTCTATCAGTTGCTTTGATAGCCATGGTAGTGACCTCATTGCCAAAGTTGACAAACTCTATCCTCCACAGCAGCTTGATGAGCTGAGTCTTAGCTTTTATCCTGGTAAGACAAGTCCGATCTGGCTCAATCCTGCCTCCCTCCCTATGTTAAGATACCTTTCAGTTTCTTCAGGAAATATTGAAAGCATGCATGAGAGCTTTTGGGGGGAGAATAATACCATCTGGAAAATCGAGGCCCTAATGTTTGAGTCTCTCTCAGATTTGGGACTATACTGGGTGGAGTTACAGGAAGTTATGCCATCCTTACGAATTGTGAATGCTACTTGGTGTCCGGAGTTACATTCTTTCCCAATTGAAGATGTTGGATTCAGAGGTGGCGTTTGGATAAAGGAAGAGCAGAACATGCATATGTAGAATCAAGACCGTGCAATGATTGTATCTTATCTCTTATTTTTTATTTTCTGTGAAACTTGATGATTGTTTTTAATTACAATTAACATGAATGTGAGATTTGATTTTCTCTTTCTAGTACTATTTAGTCATGATTGGCAACTGCAGAAATTCATATGGAAGTTTTGAATGTATAGAAACTTAAGAACCCCGAACCAAGTTCTCCTTCCATATATCTGTGTGGTTGAATGTGTCTCTCTTTTGTGTTGATTCAATAGTTCAACATTATGTCTGTTTACAGTTGTTTAAGTATGTCCTCATTTCAAAGATGTTGGCAGAAGAATTTGTTTAGGTACATGACAAAACGCTGTTCTTTGTCATCCCCTTCTATACTGATAATTAGTTGTTTGCTGATCAGCTGTTCCACTTAACAGGTAAATTGAAATCTGTTTTAAGTGAACTACTTCTAGGTAATTCAAGTGATTTGATAGAGATTTTAGAGCGTATTATTCAAGAGGTTTTGAGTTCGAGTTTTTCATCGGTTGCTAATAGAGATAGTCATTAAAACTTTTATACAATCGATAGTTTTAGGGTCTCAAGTGATTAGTTGAGTGTAATCGATAATTTTAAAGTCTCCAGTGATTAGTTAAGATGTGCATAAGTAAACTTAAACACTCCTGGTCATTAAAAAAATAAACAAAAAAAAAAAATTACACAAATTCTCATTAATACTAAATTGGGCCTAATTTATAGGTATTAGGATTAATTTGACAAGCCATGAAGGCTGAGCACGTGGCAGAAAAAATATTGAGCCCATAAATTTGGAGGGAAAAGAGGTTAGGCCGTGTCTAAGATTTCGACGGAGTAGCCTTGCATCTCGGCGCCATAAAAACAGCCGGAGAGAAGTTAAAATGACCCAGTCAAATTGTTATGTTGCCAAATAAAAAAAATAATAATAATAACAACACTCAAAAACTTTTCCGCCAAATTCTACGGATCCTGAATTCACAGCCGGTGAGCCTTGTTCGGTGTTTTATACTTTAAATCTCCTTCTCTTGTCTCTTCACAATTCGGCAGAGGGTAATTTCTTCACCATTTTCTTTTTTCTTTTTCTCTCTATTTCTTTACATTTATATTTAAAGTATTGGTGTTCGTCCTTGGCTTCTGATATTAACATTATGTGCAGGGATTTGGTGCAAAATAGTTGATTTATCTTTTGGCATCGTGATATGAGTGCTTGATTCTTCTGTCCTTTGCTGCATCACCAACCCAAATTAAATTTAATATACTTAAATTGAGTGTTATAATGGCTGCATCTGGACCTCTATCTCCCAATCCAGGTACATTATTATGAATCTCATCCTTCCTTTTTAATTCAACATTGGTTGCATCACATTTTGATCTGCCTTTGGGTTTGGTAACTGTATCAGAAGTTGAAATCTTTGAGGATGAGAAGAAGACCAGGATGGGTTCATTAAAGAAGGTAGCAATCAGCGCTTCAAACAAGTTCAGGGATTCCTTGAAAAGGGGAAGGCGAAGTAGTAAAGTCATGTCGGTTGAGATTGAGGATGTACACGACGCCGAAGAAATAAAGGCCGTCGATGCATTTCGTCAAAGCCTTATATTGGAGGAATTGTTGCCCTCAAGACACGATGATTATCATATGATGCTCAGGTTTTTTATGATTATAATTACAATTTACAATCATAAATTCATAATCATCTCTATTTTCAATCTCTAAGCTTTCTTCTTTTGGATTATACAGATTCTTGAAGGCCAGGAAATTTGATATTGAGAAAACAAAACAAATGTGGTCTGATATGCTTCAATGGAGAAAGGAATTTGGTGCTGACAATGTCACACAGGTATTAGTATTCATTAAAGAAAATTTCTGTAATTTGTCTGTTTAATCAATCATTTTTGGACCAGATTCATCCTATTTCCTTTTATCTTTGTTTAAGGACTTTGAGTTTAAGGAAATAAATGAAGTCTTGGAATATTATCCGCATGGGCACCATGGAATAGATAAGGAAGGACGACCTGTGTATATTGAGAGATTAGGACAAGTAGACCCTAATAAGCTCATGCAGGTCACTACAATGGAACGTTATGTGAAATACCATGTACGAGAATTTGAAAGGACATTCGATGTTAAATTTGCAGCTTGTTCAATTGCCGCAAAGAAGCACATCGATCAAAGTACTACTATTTTAGATGTGCAAGGAGTGGTACGTCAGAACCATTCATTTATTAATCATCTCCAGTTATTCTAAACATCAATATATTTTAATTTCACTGTTATAGGGTCTTAAAAATTTTAACAAAGCTGCAAGGGAACTTATAACTGCCATTCAAAAGATTGATGGTGACAATTATCCAGAGGTATTAATTTATCTCAGTTCTTAATAATTAGCGGCGATCCAATATTTTGTTTTATCTCTTTCTGTTGAATCTGAAACTCTTAACCTTATGTAAATGTTGTTGTCTTCTTTACAGACCTTGTATCGTATGTTTATCATAAATGCTGGCTCTGGATTTAGAATGTTATGGAACACAATTAAGTCCTTCCTTGATCCTAAGACCACATCAAAGATCCATGTAAGAATAGCCCTTATAAGTTTTCAAACAAAAATCTGATATTCGTAAAGGGAATATAATAACTAAGACAAGGTATTATCTACCAGGTTCTTGGTAACAAGTATCAGAGCAAATTGCTGGAAATAATTGATGCCAGGTAAGTTTCTAATTCCCTTAATTTCAATTGTTGTTGTTCTTCTTGTTATTTTGTTGTTATTGAGTTTAAATTCCTTGGTGGTTTGGCAAACAGTGAGTTGCCACAGTTTTTAGGAGGCACTTGTACTTGTGCTGATCAAGGAGGCTGCATGCGTTCTGATAAGGGCCCATGGAAGGACCCAGAGATTATCAAGGTGACTCCATTGCATGTCCTTTTATGTTTTTTCAACAACCCCAATATTTATTGTGCAAATGAATTAATTTTCTTAATTTAATTGATCCATGGAATGCAGATGGTTCAAAATGGTGACCATAAATGTACAAAGAAATCTGAACCTCAAAAAACTGATGAGAAGACAATTTCTGAGGACGACATAGTATACTCAAAGGTTTCACTCGTCCTTCTATCTATAATATGTTTGAAATATATAAATTTTGAGCTGACTGTTTTAATTTCAATGCGATTTACCCAGAGATATGACTCTGGCAATGTAGAGACACCAAAGGACCAGCATCCACGGCTTTCTTCAATTCAAGCAGAGGTAATTGTGGAAGATTTTCATTGTGCAACGTAATTAGCCGCTAAAACTTTGAAATTTATTGTGTTAGCAGCTTGGTTAAGCAGTATTAAATTATGTCAACTTGATAATTATTCAACTTGCTGGCTCTATTTCTGCTACTTATTTCTGTTTTTGGTTTCTTTTTCTGGAAACTAAACCCCGCAGGCTTTAATCATGCAAAGTATTCATAAATCTTTCAAGGTCGAGGACTTAGTTCCAATGGTTGATAAACCTGTTGATGCAGCTTGGCCAAAAGTAATTGAGAATGAAAGATTTGCCTATAAGAAAGGTAATTTATTGAGCTGCATACATATTTCTTAATATTAAATTAGGGCTGATTAGCTTCTAGTTACACCGAAGAATTATGTATATTGAATTTTCTGTCTCTTGCAGCAGAGGACTGTTCGAATATGCATGATCCTTGCAAGGCCCCTGAAGAGATTAGCTCTCCGATTTTCAGTGGGCTGATGGCGTTTGTTATGGGCATTGCTGCAATGATCAGAGTGACACGAAACTTGCCTAAGAAGCTCACTGATGCAACTATCTATTCCAATCCTGACTACTGTGTTGATGATACAAAGATGAAAAGCCTGCAGCAAAAGTTCTCAACACCTGGTATCTATGGTGCAGATTACTTGGTTATGATGAAACGGATGGCTGCATTGGAAGACACAGTAAACTTTTTGAGCACGAAACCTGCAGCTATGTTGTCTGAGAAGGAGGAATTGTTGCATGCTGCAGTAAGTAGGGTTGATGTGTTGGAGCAGGAGCTATTGGCAACTAGGAAGGTATAGTTGTCGATTCTTTATAAACTTCATAATTGAACGGCCATTAAAACCTGTGACTAATAACCATTGATTTCTCTTGTTTGTCCAGACTTTGGAGGAATCACTCGCTCAACAGGAGGAACTCCTTGCTTATATAGAGAAGAAAAAGAAGAAAAAGAAGTTGGTATGTAAATCAGAGTTGCTTAAATAATTTTCTTCAGTTCATTGGTATTGTATCACATTCTTATTATAGTTGTTTGATTTGCAATGCAGTTCAACTGGTAAAGAAGAAAAGCTGGATACTTGAGAGAGAGATTATCAGGAAACTGGTGCAGCGGTGATGTTTTCTTTTCCAAAGGCCACCCTAATGCACTCTAGTTTGAGGCTCTGATTGTAAAATAGAATTCAAAAGTTCTCTGGATGCAAAGCCATTGTCTTCACTCGTGTATATTTAAAATAAAAAAATAAAAATTTGGCTTCCATAATTAATTGTGCCAATGCATTTTAATTATATGACTTTACTTATAGCTAATTAATGTTGACAAAAGAGTAGAGAGAGATCAAAATGTGTTGAGATGTAAAAGCTCTAACCATCACACCCTTTCACGGTTTCACCCATTAATCTTAATACAAGTTTCAGCAATAACTTCCAAGAAAAGTTTCTTGAAAGGGTTTATATATATATATAATTTAACTAAGAAAAAGAAATTTGATCCGATAAATACTAAAAGAAAAAGGTTGAGAATTAATTCTATATAGTACTGGTATGTAGCGGAGGGTTGCTACACTAGTCTCCCTCAAAGATTAGTTGAAATACACGTAAACTGATCCGGGTACCTTTGTCATAGAATGAAAAACTAAAGCTGAAGTTATACATGCAATTGTATGCAAGCCTCAATTACCTCCACTACAAGCCAGGTCTAGGTGGGTTATTTCCTTTAGTCCTTATAGATTGAAGTATATTCACTTACCTCCAGTACTATGGGATATGAAAGCTTAGTCTGGTTAGATGAGACTTTTTAATATAAAAAAAGCTATAATACCCCTGTTATTACTTATCATACACGTGTTATTAGAAATGAATAAATTATTAAAAAAAAAAAGTAAAAAGTATATTGTACACCTAAAATAAGATTTATTTTTTCATAAGAGTAATGGTTAATATCCAAATATAATATGGACCATTTTTAACACATTACTTAATATATGCATTCTCTGTATAGATTTTTTATTGAAAAGTCTCACCTGATTTAACTAAACTGTTTGTATCTCACACTACCGGAGGTAAATGAATATACTCCAAACTTTAAGGATGAAAGGGACGTAACCCAGGCTAGGTCCATAATTTTAATACTTGGTCAAGTTTGGGCCTTAGCCTGTCAGCAAAAATTGGATAGAAGTTGACAAGAAAAGTCAATCCAACAAGTAGTACAAAGACAGTATAGTTAAAACTCTACAGACATTGGAGATTACACAATTTGGACTATAATGTTTTGTAGTAAATCATTTATAAGTATAGCAATATAGTGAAACTACTTTCACTAGATGATAATTATTGAAATACCAAAAAAAAAAAAAAGGGTACATGAGTACTATTAGTTCTCTAAAGGAGTTTGTATACAAGATTAAGCAAAGATAAAAGGCTCCAAATAAAAGCTTAAGCTAGAAGTAGTTATAAATACAAGCTCCAAAGTGTCTCTCCTTGATAGTTGATAACTAGGTACTATTTGTCTCCATGCTACCATCGTAACTATTAAAATATGATGCATAAGGTAGGGGCACAAGGCATAGCCCTCTTCTTCTAAGATTTCGCTTTGATTCTTCAATTTTATCTTCCTTGCTTGAACCCTGTAAACAAAATATTAATTAATGAGAAGAAGTCTTAAGGGATTATTCTTTAGAGAAAGTCTTAAGGGAGGTTAGCTATAATTACAATGAGAAGAAGTGATAATTTTCAAACCACAAAAGGTGTTTATAAAATTTGAGTAAACGACTTTTCCCCACCCAAGGTTTGCCTTAATGACAATTTTTCACCCAAAAAGTTTCAAAATACCACTTTTCCACCCAAAGCCGATTATGACAGAGAAAATTCTCTCCGTCACCACCATTTGAACCTTCGATCTTCTCTCTATAAAACCCCTCTCACATTCATCTGATTTCTGGCCGATTGTCGGCCATCGCAAAGCTAGAGTTTTTTGTTCTTAGCTTATTTCTAGCTAATTCCAACGACAAATATTTAATCAGTCATCACCATTCGATCTACCTACCGTCACTCTACAAAAACCCTCTTACTCTCGCTCCTAGTAACTCGTCGAACGCCGGCTCATAAAGTAAAGTGAATTTTGTGTATTAACAGAATATAAACGTTAAGTGGGAAAGTGGCATTTGAAAACTTTTTGGGTCAGAAAGTGTCATTTAGGCAAACCTTGGGTGGGAAAAAGTCATTTACTCTTATCAAATTAGAACAAACCTTATGGGAGGTTAGTAAAATTAACCCTTTTTCTGAATATGGGATTATTACCTTGTAGTTAGTCAAAAATAAAAGTGAGCGTCAGATTGAAAAGAACAAAACCCTGTTTTCAGATTTAAGAAACAATTGGGGGAGAAAATAGAAATGTACACCAAAAGGCAAAAGTAAAACTGTGTTTAGTATTTACTTACGGCTTGAGTTGTTGATGAATTCCTGTAAGGTGTGGTGAGTGTCTGCACTCGGTCATGAAGGAATTGTATATACCCAATAGCTTCTGTTAGTACAGAGGCTGTATCTGTCTGCATAAAAAGTTATTATAAAGTTGGTTTGTCATTGAGTTGGCTTGGTGGGTTCTGATGAAGAAGTTATTAAATGTATATTACCTTCCCAAAGGGTGCCACCATCTTCTGAAGAGCTTGAATTCTGTCTCCTAATTTCTCCTTTCTAACCTATCAACACCCAGTATAAAGTTGTATCAAGAAAATCTGAATCAAAATGAAAATTCATTAACCCAGATAATCGTTTAATATACATAGTTACCTTCAGTGGCGGGCATGAGGATCGTGATCGCGACTTCCTGAAATCTTGACGTGTTTCCTTCGACTCTGTAAAACTACCAGGTCTCTTTGTCCTTGTAACCCCATTTACCAATCTTGGCATCTTTAAAATAAAGTAAATTCAGTTCATGGATATTCAAATTGATATTGGTATCTAAGGCAATCTGAAAACTCACAAGTTAGCTATGGTTATAAAACAGAGTTGCATATTCTTCTTTAATATCCGAAAACTATTTGTCGATTGTCTTTTGCATATTTTGATCAGATTTCAAGATTACTTCTAAAAACGTCTCACTTAAATACATTTTCTCAAGATTTATTGTAATCCTATCGTCATTCCAAAGAGTAAAGAATTGCATTCTGATTGTTTAATGAAAGAATTTTCCTACATGGAAAACTGAAACACAAAACATGAGTAAGGGGACATACAGCACAGAGTGAATGAAGATATAATATAGACGTTCATGACTTTCTGACTTATGAGAATTCCGAAGTAAATTGAATCTTGAAAGCTATAATTAAATAAGGCACAACTAAGAATAAAAAATATAAGAAAGTGATACCCACTTTGTTCGAGCTGTTAGAGGGACTAGCATCTTTAATAAGTTCTGGCATGCCATCATGGCCCATAAATGTTGTTTCACTTAATTTACCATGAATCATATCATGCGAAGACTGGCTAAAAAAACTCTCATCATGGTATGTAGAAGTTAAAAGATCCAAAGCTTGTAAATTGGGAGACCTTGAAACCAATGAAGCACACAAATCCGAGGCCGAAGAAATAATTGTACTTGGAAATACATGGCTGATGAATCCGTTAGATGTAACTGCACTTGGGGAGGCTTGAGGATTATGGCACCCTGCTCCTGCCGAAAGCTGCAGTTGAGTTATATCACGATCCAAAGAGAAGTGATTGAGCCATAGATTTTCACCAAGATCATAAGGATAATGTGGATAGTGTTTGCTGCTTAGAGAGAATGACTCGTGACCATTTACACTAGATGGTATGTGTATCATTTCAGTGTACTGTTTGGGGAAAAAATCTGGCATCTCCACTTTGTTGTTTGCAGGGAACAATTGATTAGCAGATTCAGGGATGAAGCTTTCTTGACCAATAGTATTGCTAAATAATGGAGACGACCAACACTCCTTTGATCTTGAGATACTTTCAGTCGTATCTGTATCACCGGAACTATCTTTCCTGCATGATCATGAAATAGAAAGTCAATAGTTGATATCAATTATTATACAAATGACTTTCTATAAATCAGGGAATTAAAGGTCATGGAATACATATATAACCCAGTTGCTGTTAAGTGAATAGTAACTAGTAAGGCTTGTTCTCCCGGCCATCTCCTTATGTACGTAATTTCATCTACGTTTTAATGAATAAAAGCTGGAAAATAATACTAAGAGGTTCAAGCTTATACGATATATATGCACAGTGCAGTTATGTTCTTCATTGATAGAACCTTAATTGTCACATACGCACTCTATGATGAAAGCTGATTTAATTACTTACAGAACAGTGGTAGAGTTCCAGTCTTGAGTTCTTGGAACTTTACTGGCCAACTTGGTTTCCAACAAAGAGAAATATCCATTTAACTGTTGTAATTGGAGCTGATGCTGAAGTTGAAGATCTGCAGACTCCATAATATTTAGACTTGATGAAAAATCCCTAGATGGGGTAAGCAATTAATTAGCAGCTGCTCTAGGAATCTCTCACTTTTGATATATATATTCACTAAACCAACTGCCTTTAGGACGTTTCCTTGCTCAGTTGAGTTTCCTCTTTACTGTCTCTGATGATCACCTCCAAACAAGATCTTGATAAACGATCCTTTTATCAATATAACACGCCTGAAACTTTATGGAGGTTCAGTGGCTATCAAAACCCCATTATATTGTCTAAATTATTATATTAATATTGGCTGAAACTTTTGCTCTCTTTTGCAAAATACTAGAGTCTAGTGTCCATAGAGATAAAAAAATGTTTCGTCCTATATGGAAATTGAAGTGATATATCTTTGGTAAAATAATTTAAGTTTACTGGGGAAAGTTAAAAAAAAAAAAAGAGAGGAGGAAAATCATGGAGAGAATGTTTCATTCCCCTTTTTATTATTATATGCGCATTGTTAAGACGTCCAAGTTACCAAGAATTAATCAATTCAAAACAATTTCTACTTTACCCATCGGAATCCAAGCGTCACTGTAATTGCTTATTAAACTAGACTTTTAGTACCCACCACTTGCGAGGAAGTGATGGGAATCGCCTAGAAGTGTTGGCCACTTCTGTAATATTTACAGAAAAATATTTATAATCCAGTACAGACTATTAGTCCCCTCCATCGAATGAGCACTGAAGTGATTGCCGGAGGTTTTAATTGAATACTAATAAACCTTAAATCTCTAAAAACGAAAAATAGTGCGAATAAATTATACAAAATAATTATATACATAAATACAAGATTTATAGTGGTTCACTCTTTGTATGAGAGCTATGTCCACTTTGCGCTGCATAATTTCACTACCAAAAAAAAAGAAATATTACAAGAATCTCTTAAGCCTCACAAATTGACTTACTTACCAAACCCTATTTGATGACTCTTACTCTTTAATTGTGACTTTGCCTTCTATTTAATTTGTGATATCTAACTCTAGAACTTAACCCATTTTTATATGTAATACATGGGACACAATTCCTAATGGACTCAAATCTCATATCCTAATAGGAATTATATTTTAATTCCTAATACAATTATAATTCTATTTCCAATTGTATTCCTACAAGAAAACAATTTTACTTAAACAAAAATTAGGGAAACCCATGTCCTGATCAAACTCTAGTTTGGATTGAATTTGGCTTCAAAATCTCAACAATTACTTTTTCTCATAATGATTGGAAGTGTCCAAGTCAGTTTACACGCATCTCAACTAATCCCCTGAGACCCTAAAACTATCGGTCAAATAAGAACTCTAATGGCCACCCCTATTAACAAATGTGAGAACTCGAACTCAGGAGATCATATTACATCTCTTTTACCACAAATTTTGTTTGTAGTTACTACTTGAAAAAAAAAAAACGCTATTAGGAAATAGTACATTTTTTTTTTTTTTTCTAAATTGGCTTTGAACTCATACTAAGATAAAATTAAACTAAGAAAGAGGAAGGAATGGAATCAAATAAGATGGACAAGACTCTCCTAATCATATGATATACACTCATAATTTGGGTAAAAAGTGTCTAATCAAAGCTTCCTTTTAACTAGTGCCACAATAAAAAAGAGCTGCCACAAGAAATTGAAGTCCCCCAGACTTTCTTTTCTGTGTGTATATGGATTAAGCAAGAGATCAGCTTATTGATCTTTAATTAAAGATTGACTGCGACAACCATATATAATCCTCGGAGTAAGATGTCTAGATTGTCCACTAAATTATCATATCAAAGAATAAATAAACAATACTTAAAATGTCCTAATTAAAGTACTGATTGACCATATAACAAAGAGTGACGGTCATGGGCCACTGAGGAGGACTGAGGGAGAAATTATGGGCAAGCTTTTTGTCACTGCATGCATGCCTTGGCTTCAGCCTTTCCCTCAGGTCTCCAGCCTGCCCATTCCACAACATCATCTATCTCTTCTTATTTATTTCTTTATTGGAAAGAGTAAACCAGACTGGTTCCTCCGAGTTCAGCTATAATAAGCAAATCACGGCGCTGCAACTATTGATCAATCTGGGAAGATTTATGTCGCTTAATTTGATTATTGGTCTACTATGATACTAAGAGTCAAAATCTTAATCGTTACAGGATATTCTCTTATTGTATACAATAACTTTTTAATTATTGCAACTACATCGGGATTCCAAGATGCCATTTGTAGGCTTTTAAGTCAGCTCGAGTATTATACGCAGCTAGAATCTGTAAACAAGTTGCATACAGCATATATATAGGCTCCAATTGGAATCCACGTTGGACGCATTATCTTGCTTGGACATTATTAAAATATATATAATATAGTTTCGACATTCTTTATGGAAAAAGAAAAAAAAAAAAAAAAAGTGTTATTCAAATATTAATCTCTGCTATCATTTTCATTCAGATATGGGGCAGCTCTCAACTACGCCCACCTATAAATTTTCTGCATATACACACTAGGGTTAAACAATAGCTTGATGGGAAATATTAGTTCATCATGTGGTGCTTCACCAGAATCACCTATATAAACTTGCCAGCTGAATATAAAACTGACGTTAATCAGAACTTTCGAATAAGAACTACTGGTTCTTCACTTCATCGAACGATTATCTTTAGTGATTCAATGAATACGAATTAGTTTGAAACCTTATGATACAAGGAATCAAAGCTAAATTTAATAGTGGGAGATGCCCTGAAAAGTAGGTCTTAAAGTTGCCAGGATTAAAGTTGTTTAAGAAGAAGACAAAGCTATAGAATATATTTTCTTTGGTTTGTTTAACAAGGCCAAGAGACCCTGTATTGGGGACCATGTCTTCTTTGTTCCTCAAGGCAATATAGAAATATTATCCTTGTACATAATTGATCATTATTTTTAAGAAAATCCAATTCCCTTTATACAAAAGCATATTAAATATAGACTTGCAAAATTATTTAGGAGGATAAGTACGTGGCTTAAGCTGGAGACTACCTCCCAGCTGGGGCTTCCTGCAAGTGCATGCTCATACCACTACCAATTATTTCCCTGCATTAATCTTCAGACAGCATTATTATAAAGCTTTGCGCTTACCCGTGGATGGAGATTCGTACAGTCAGTCCACTTAATATAGTTATAATAAAACATTAGTTGTGATGATAGGCCACCAAAGTGGCTGTAGTTTAGTGGTAAGAATTCTACGTTGTGGCCGTAGAGACCTGGGCTCGAATCCCCACCAGATCATAAGGATAATGTGGATAGTGTTTGCTGCTTAGAGAGAATGACTCGTGACCATTTACACTAGATGGTATGTGTATCATTTCAGTGACTGTTTGGGAAAAATCTGGCATCTCCACTTTGTTGTTTGCAGGGAACAATTGATTAGCAGATTCGGGGATGGCTTTCTTGACATAGTATTGCTAAATAATGGAGACGACCAACACTCCTTTGATCTTGAGATACTTTCAGTCGTCTGTATCACCGGAACTATCTTTCCTGCATGATCATGAAATAGAAATCAATAGTTGATATCATTATTATACAAATGACTTTCTATAAATCAGGGAATTAAAGTCATGGAATACATATATAACCCAGTTGCTGTTAAGTGAATAGTAACTATAAGGCTTGTTCCCCCGGCCATCTCCTTATGTACGTAATTTCATCTACGTTTTAATGAATAAAAGCTGGAAAATAACTAAGAGGTTCAAGCTTATACGATATATATGCACAGTGCAGTTATGTTCTTCTAGATAGAACCTTATTGTCACATACGCACTCTATGATGAAAGCTGATTTAATTACTTACAGAACAGTGGTAAGAGTTCCAGTCTTGAGTTCTTGGAACTTTACTGGCCAACTTGGTTCCAACAAAGAGAAGTATCCATTTAACTGTTGTAATTGGAGCTGATGCTGAAGTTAGATCTGCAGACTCCATAATATTTAGACTTGATGAAAAATCCCTAGATGGGGTAAGCAATTAATTAGCAGCTGCTCTAGGAATCTCTCACTTTTGATATATATTCACTAAACCAACTGCCTTTAGGACGTTTTCCTTGCCATTTGAGTTTCCTCTTTACTGTCTCTGATGATCACCTCCAAACAAGATCTTATAAACGATCCTTTTATCAATATAACACGCCTGAAACTTTATGGGGTTCAGTGGCTATCAAAACCCATTATATTGTCTAAATTATTATATTATTGGCTGAAACTTTTGCTCGCTTTTGCAAATACTAGTCTATGTCCATAGAGATAAAAATGTTTCGTCCTATATGAGAATTGAAGTGATATATCTTTGGTAAAATAATTTATTTACTGGGGAAAGTTAAAAAAAAAAAAAAGAGAGGAGAAAATCATGGAGATAATGTTTCATCCCCTTTTTATATTATATGCCATTGTTAAGACGCCCAAGTTACCAAGAATTACAATTCAAAACAATTTCTACTTTCCCATCGAATCCAAGCGTCACTGTAATTGCTTATTAACTAGACTTTTAGTACCCCCACTTGCGAGAGTGATGGGAATCGCCTAGAAGTGTTGCCACTTCTGTAATATTTACAGAAAAATATTTATAATCCTTACAGACTATTGTCCCCTCCATCGAATGAGCACTGAAGTGATTGCCGAGGTTTTAATTGAATACTAATAAACCTTAAATCTCTAAAAACGACATTGGAGATTACACAATTTGGACTATAATGTTTTGTAGTAAATCATTTATAAGTATAGCAATATAGTGAAACTACTTTCACTAGATGATAATTATTGAAATACCAAAAAAAAAAAAAAGGGTACATGAGTACTATTAGTTCTCTAAAGGAGTTTGTATACAAGATTAAGCAAAGATAAAAGGCTCCAAATAAAAGCTTAAGCTAGAAGTAGTTATAAATACAAGCTCCAAAGTGTCTCTCCTTGATAGTTGATAACTAGGTATTATTTGTCTCCATGCTACCATCGTAACTATTAAAATATGATGCATAAGGTAGGGGCACAAGGCATAGCCCTCTTCTTCTAAGATTTCGCTTTGATTCTTCAATTTTATCTTCCTTGCTTGAACCCTGTAAACAAAATAATAATTAATGAGAAGAAGTCTTAAGGGATTATTCTTTAGAGAAAGTCTTAAGGGAGGTTAGCTATAATTTCAATGAGAAGAAGTGATAATTTTCAAACCACAAAAGGTGTTTATAAAATTTGAGTAAACGACTTTTCCCCACCCAAGGTTTGCCTTAATGACACTTTCCCACCCAAAAAGTTTCAAAATACTACTTTCCCACCCAAAGCCAATTCTGATGGAGAAAATTCTCTCCCTCACCACCATTTGAACCTTCGGTCTTCTCTCTATAAAATCTCTCTCACTTTGTCACTTGATTTCTTGCCGATTGTCGACCATCGCAAAGCTAGAGTTTTTTGTTCTTAGCTAATTTTCAGCTGATTCCAATGGTGAATATTCAATTAGCCAACACCATTCGATCCACCTACCGCCACTCTACAAAAACCCTCTTATTGTTGCTGCTGGTAACTCGCCGAACGCCGGCTTAGAAAGTAAAGTGAATTTTAGGTATTAATGGAATATAAATGTTGGATGAGAAAGTGGCATTTGGAAACTTTTTAGGTCAAAAAGTGTCATTTAGGCAAACCTTGGGTGGGAAGAAGTCATTTACTCTTATCAAATTAGATCAAACCTTATGGGAGGTTAGTGAAATTAACCCTTTTTCTGAATATGGGATTATTACCTTGTGGTTAGTCAAAAATAAAAGTGAGCGTCAGATTGAAAAGAACAAAACCCTGTTTTCAGATTTAAGAAACAATTGGGGGAGAAAATAGAAATGTACACCAAAAGGCAAAAGTATAACTGTGTTTAGTATTTACTTACGGCTTGAGTTGTTGATGAATTCCTGTAAGGTGTGGTGAGTGTCTGCACTCGGTCATGAAGGAATTGTATATACCCAATAGCTTCTGTTAGTACAGAGGCTGTATCTGTCTGCATAAAAAGTTATTATAAAGTTGGTTTGTCATTGAGTTGGCTTGGTGGGTTCTGATGAAGAAGTTATTAAATGTATATTACCTTCCCAAAGGGTGCCACCATCTTCTGAAGAGCTTGAATTCTGTCTCCTAATTTCTCCTTTCTAACCTATCAACACCCAGTATAAAGTTGTATCAAGAAAATCTGAATCAAAATGAAAATTCATTAACCCAGATAATCGTTTAATATACATAGTTACCTTCAGTGGCGGGCATGAGGATCGTGATCGCGACTTCCTGAAATCTTGACGTGTTTCCTTCGACTCTGTAAAACTACCAGGTCTCTTTGTCCTTGTAACCCCATTTACCAATCTTGGCATCTTTAAAATAAAGTAAATTCAGTTCATGGATATTCAAATTGATATTGGTATCTAAGGCAATCTGAAAACTCACAAGTTAGCTATGGTTATAAAACAGAGTTGCATATTCTTCTTTAATATCCGAAAACTATTTGTCGATTGTCTTTTGCATATTTTGATCAGATTTCAAGATTACTTCTAAAAACGTCTCACTTAAATACATTTTCTCAAGATTTATTGTAATCCTATCGTCATTCCAAAGAGTAAAGAATTGCATTCTGATTGTTTAATGAAAGAATTTTCCTACATGGAAAACTGAAACACAAAACATGAGTAAGGGGACATACAGCACAGAGTGAATGAAGATATAATATAGACGTTCATGACTTTCTGACTTATGAGAATTCCGAAGTAAATTGAATCTTGAAAGCTATAATTAAATAAGGCACAACTAAGAATAAAAAATATAAGAAAGTGATACCCACTTTGTTCGAGCTGTTAGAGGGACTAGCATCTTTAATAAGTTCTGGCATGCCATCATGGCCCATAAATGTTGTTTCACTTAATTTACCATGAATCATATCATGCGAAGACTGGCTAAAAAAACTCTCATCATGGTATGTAGAAGTTAAAAGATCCAAAGCTTGTAAATTGGGAGACCTTGAAACCAATGAAGCACACAAATCCGAGGCCGAAGAAATAATTGTACTTGGAAATACATGGCTGATGAATCCGTTAGATGTAACTGCACTTGGGGAGGCTTGAGGATTATGGCACCCTGCTCCTGCCGAAAGCTGCAGTTGAGTTATATCACGATCCAAAGAGAAGTGATTGAGCCATAGATTTTCACCAAGATCATAAGGATAATGTGGATAGTGTTTGCTGCTTAGAGAGAATGACTCGTGACCATTTACACTAGATGGTATGTGTATCATTTCAGTGTACTGTTTGGGGAAAAAATCTGGCATCTCCACTTTGTTGTTTGCAGGGAACAATTGATTAGCAGATTCAGGGATGAAGCTTTCTTGACCAATAGTATTGCTAAATAATGGAGACGACCAACACTCCTTTGATCTTGAGATACTTTCAGTCGTATCTGTATCACCGGAACTATCTTTCCTGCATGATCATGAAATAGAAAGTCAATAGTTGATATCAATTATTATACAAATGACTTTCTATAAATCAGGGAATTAAAGGTCATGGAATACATATATAACCCAGTTGCTGTTAAGTGAATAGTAACTAGTAAGGCTTGTTCTCCCGGCCATCTCCTTATGTACGTAATTTCATCTACGTTTTAATGAATAAAAGCTGGAAAATAATACTAAGAGGTTCAAGCTTATACGATATATATGCACAGTGCAGTTATGTTCTTCATTGATAGAACCTTAATTGTCACATACGCACTCTATGATGAAAGCTGATTTAATTACTTACAGAACAGTGGTAGAGTTCCAGTCTTGAGTTCTTGGAACTTTACTGGCCAACTTGGTTTCCAACAAAGAGAAATATCCATTTAACTGTTGTAATTGGAGCTGATGCTGAAGTTGAAGATCTGCAGACTCCATAATATTTAGACTTGATGAAAAATCCCTAGATGGGGTAAGCAATTAATTAGCAGCTGCTCTAGGAATCTCTCACTTTTGATATATATATTCACTAAACCAACTGCCTTTAGGACGTTTCCTCGCTCAGTTGAGTTTCCTCTTTACTGTCTCTGATGATCACCTCCAAACAAGATCTTGATAAACGATCCTTTTATCAATATAACATGCCTGAAACTTTATGGAGGTTCAGTGGCTATCAAAACCCTATTATATTGTCTAAATTATTATATTAATATTGGGTGAAACTTTTGCTGTCTTTGCAATACTAGAGTCTAGTGTCCATAGAGATAAAAAAAAATGTTTCGTCCTATATGGAAATTGAAGTGATATATCTTTGGTAAAATAATTTAAGTTTACTGGGGAAAGTTAAAAAAAAAGAAAAGAGGAGGAAATTCATGGTGATAATGTTTCATTCCCCTTTTTATTATTATATGAACATTGTTAAGACGTCCAAGTTACCAAGAATTAATCAATTCAAAACAATTTCTACTTTACCCATCGGAATCCAAGCGTCACTATAATTGCTAACTAAACTAGACTTTTAGTACCCACCACTTGCAAGGAAGTGATGGGAATCGCCTAGAAAGTGTTGGCCACTTCTGTTATATTTACAGAAAAATATTTATAATCCAGTACAGACTATTAGTCCCCTCCATCGAATGAGCACTAATGCAAAATGTAAAATATGAAGTGATTGCCGGAGGTTTTAATTGAATATTAATAAATCTTAAATCTTTAAAAGCGAAAAATAGTGCGAACAAATTATATAAAATAACTATATATATAAACACAAGATTTATAGTGGTTAATTCTCTATATGAGAGTTACTTCTATTTTGTCATTGTCAAATTTTACTATAAAGAGAAGAAGAAATATTACAAGAATCTCTAGAGCCTCACAAATTGGCTCACTCACCAAACCCTATTTGATGGCTTTCACTCTTTAATTGTGACTTTGTCTTCTATTCAATTTATGATATCTAACTCTAAAACTTAACCTTTTTTTATAGGTAATATATGAGACACAATTCTTAATGGACTCAAATCTCATATCCTAATAGGAATTATATTTTAATTCCTAATACAATTATAATTCTATTTCTAATTGTATTCCTACAAGAAAACAATTTTACTTAAACACAAATTAGGAAAACTCATGTCCTAATCCAACTCTAATTTGGATTGAATTTGGCTTAAAAATCTCAACAATTACTCTTTCTCATAATGATTGGAAGTGTCCGAACCAGCTTGCACGTGTCTCAACCAATCTCCTGAGACCTTAAAACTATCAATCAAGTAAGAACTTCAGTGATCATCCCTATTAACAACTGTAAAGACTTGAACTCAGGAGATCATGTTAGATCTCTTTTACCACAAATTTTGTTCGTAGTTACTACCTGAAAGCAAAAACGCGATTAGGAAATAGTAAGTTTTTTTCTCTAAATTGACTTTGAACTTATACTAAGATAAAATTAACCTAAGAAAGAGGAAGGAAACAAATCAAATAAGATGGACAAAGACTCTCCTAATCATATGATTTACACTCATAATTTGATTAATAATTTGGCTAAAAAGTGTCTAATCAAAGCTTCCTTTTAACTAGTGCCACAATAAAAATGAGCTGCCACAAGAAATTGAAGTCCCCCAGACTTTCTTTTCTGTGTGTATATGGATTAAGCAAGAGATCAACTTATTGATCTTTAATTAAATATTGACTGCGACAACCATATATAATCCCCGGAGTATGATATCTAGATTGTCCACTAAATTATCATATCAAAGAATAAATAAAGAATACTTAAAATGTCCTAATTAAAGTACTGATTGACCATATAACAAAGAGTGACGGTCATGGGCCACTGAGGAGGACTGAGGGAGAAATTATGGGCAAGCTTTTTGTCGCTGCATGCATGCCTTGGTTTCAGCCTTTCCCTCAGGTCTCCAGCCTGCCCATTCCACAACATCATCTATCTCTTCTTATTTATTTCTTTATTGGAAAGAGTAAACCAGACTGGTTCCTCCGAGTTCAGCTATAATAAGCAAATCACGGCGCTGCAACTATTGATCAATCTGGGAAGATTTATGTCGCTTAATTTGATTATTGGTCTACTATGATACTAAGAGTCAAAATCTTAATCGTTACAGTATATTCTCTTATTGTATACAATAACTTTTTAATTATTGCAACTACATCGGGATTCCAAGATGCCATTTGTAGGCTTTTAAGTCAGCTCGAGTATTATACGCAGCTAGAATCTGTAAACAAGTTGCATACAGCATATATATAGGCTCCAATTGGAATCCACGTTGGACGCATTATCTTGCTTGGACATTATTAAAATATATATAATATAGTTTCGACATTCTTTATGGAAAAAGAAAAAAAAAAAAAAAAAGTGTTATTCAAATATTAATCTCTGCTATCATTTTCATTCAGATATGGGGCAGCTCTCAACTACGCCCACCTATAAATTTTCTGCATATACACACTAGGGTTAAACAATAGCTTGATGGGAAATATTAGTTCATCATGTGGTGCTTCACCAGAATCACCTATATAAACTTGCCAGCTGAATATAAAACTGACGTTAATCAGAACTTTCGAATAAGAACTACTGGTTCTTCACTTCATCGAACGATTATCTTTAGTGATTCAATGAATACGAATTAGTTTGAAACCTTATGATACAAGGAATCAAAGCTAAATTTAATAGTGGGAGATGCCCTGAAAAGTAGGTCTTAAAGTTGCCAGGATTAAAGTTGTTTAAGAAGAAGACAAAGCTATAGAATATATTTTCTTTGGTTTGTTTAACAAGGCCAAGAGACCCTGTATTGGGGACCATGTCTTCTTTGTTCCTCAAGGCAATATAGAAATATTATCCTTGTACATAATTGATCATTATTTTTAAGAAAATCCAATTCCCTTTATACAAAAGCATATTAAATATAGACTTGCAAAATTATTTAGGAGGATAAGTACGTGGCTTAAGCTGGAGACTACCTCCCAGCTGGGGCTTCCTGCAAGTGCATGCTCATACCACTACCAATTATTTCCCTGCATTAATCTTCAGACACCATTATTATAAGGTTTTGCGCTTACCCGTGGATGGAGATTCATAGAGTGAGTTAGTCCACTCAATATAATTATAATAAAGGATTAGTTCTGAGAATAGGCCACCAAAGTGGCTGTAGTTTAGTGGTAAGAATTCTACGTTGTGGCCGTAGAGACCTGGGCTCGAATCCCAGCAGCCACAATTCCTTTTTTTTTTTTTTTTTTACCGAGCCTAGGTCTGCAAAATCCTTTTTTGCACAGAGTAGAAAAGAAAAATGTCTGTTTTTAGCTTTGAGGAAAGAGTAGAGAAAAATGTTGCTTGGGTTTAGTGACCACACTCATTTAAGCATTGAGAGAAACGTGGCTACGCTGATTGAGCTCTCTCGTTTTTGCGCTTTGAGGAAGGGAGTAGAGAATTGATGTTTGGGCTTTAGTACGGGAATTGGTAGCGTGAAAGAGAAAGCCCAAGTAATATTACACTTAATTCTTCTCATAAACTTTCTTTTTTAATGATGATATAACAATTTGTAATTGATCAACTATAATTTATCATATGAGGTCTAATACAAACTAACCAATTATAAATTATTACATCAGAGTTGTAAGAAAAAATTTATGAGAAGAGGATGTAAAAGCAATATTTTTGTTTTTTTATAACCTTGGGGATCGAACTTACAATTAATAACTTATTCAAATAGATTATTATTATTAACCAATCTATATAAATCGTGTATCTCTTTAAAAATTAATTCGGTTTTTAAAATCTTTGCTAAAAATAAATTTCTAAATGAAATTTTGTACACATATAAATTATAAGTGGGGTTTATTAATGAATTAGGTAAAACCCACATTTGGATAGCTCAAGTGGTAAGACGAGTCTCCATGATTGCTAATAGGAGTGGTTATTAGAGTTTTTATCTGACTAGTAGTTCCAATGTTTTAAGAGATTAGTTGAAGTGTGCGTAAGTTAACTAGACACCCTCCGATAAAAAAAAAAAAAAAAAAAAATGGTATGACAAGCACTGGAAATTGTTTAAGACCCATGACCTCAATTTTGCATCTCTTTGAGGGCAATGAGCCTTTAGTAGGAATTGGGTAAGATAGTTGTTCTTTTGTGTTTTTCAATAGAACTCCCTTTGAAAAATTGGTTTGCCAAGAATAATGTCTAACTTCTATAAACCACATGTTTATTCATTCTCTTACAATGTTTTTCTCTCTTAATGTGGGATGCTAATAATGATGATCATGATGAAATTAATTAGGTGTATGTAAACTGGATCAGACACTTTGTTTTTAAAAAAAAAAAAAATTAGTTGGGGCTTAAAAATCATTTCTCTTCCAAAACTTTTAAAAGTAATTAAATGGATGGGATGAAGAACAACATAAACCGGTCAAACGTAGCGTTTGTAATTGATTTTTGATTCCAAGTACGGACCCCCGGCGACAAAACCAAAAGTTGTAACAGTGACTAGTGATTAGATAATTTAATAGGTAGATGGACGGACCCACAATCTAGCATTTCGGCAAATTAAAGCAAGCCAGGTCGGCTTTATATAAACTTTCCACGTGGCGCCCGCGGTGTTTGCTTTGATGCGGGAAAGTGCGTTGATATCATAGAATTGTTGCACGAGATGAATGGATTGAAGGGGAAGCAAAGGAAATAATGGGCATATTACTTATACGACTGAAAGTGGAGAAGTACTATGAATCAGACCCACATCTTGCACGTTTCACCAATTCAAGCCACTTTAGCCAGCTTTCTATTGCTTAGCCATCTCACTTTGTCTCTTCTTCACCGGCCCAAGACTTTTTTTATATGATTAACCTCAGAAAATTAAAAATTCTTATAATAATATTTTAGATATTTCACCTTAAAGGGACAAAATTATTTTATATCGAGTTAATGATTTTTTTCTATCCAAATAATAGATTAATGACATTTTTTCTTCCATAAATTTTTAAAATATAATTTTATTATCCAAATTTATATTCTGATGGTGAAAAGAGAACAAATGTGATCTATGACATTGGGGCTTTTGAAGAGGGGAGGTTGATAAGTTTTTTGGTAGTGGAATGTTGGATTGTAGTAGTTGGGTTTAATCGAAATATGACTTGGGAGGAATGACTGCATAAACTTTAATCGTTCGATTGCTGACGATTGATAAGGTCGACGGGAGTAGGGTTTAAGAGATTTTAGTAAATGATGATCGGGGAAGAGAATGATGATAGTATGGGGTCGTAACGACGTCGAAATTGGAAACAAAACATAAATTTAGATAATTAAGTGGTATTTTAAAAATTCTTGGATGGAAAAATATCATTAGCTAATTATTTGGGTGAGAAAAAGTTATTTACTCTTGTATATGAGAGAAATACAAGAAGGGAAAGAATATGGGTGAAAAAAAGTTGTTTACTCTTTTATATGGGAGAAATACAAGAAGGAAAGGAATAACCAACAATCTCTCTCATACTAACGTGACAGCTCATAATTAATTAAATTATATGTTTTATATAAATTTTAAATATATTTTACTAATTAATTATAAACTGATTAATTATGAACAGCGCCTAATATTAGTCATCGCTCATAAGCGAAGCTGAGAATGGAGCTGATGGTGTGGGAGCAGAGCAGCCAGATAGACATGAAAAATGATAATTTAATCATAATTTATATTAGTTTGTGCATGAAGACTGCAGCAAAAGATGATATTTGCTAAAAACCAAAGAAACACGAACTCAAAATTGCCGTGTGGGCGTCACGTCCTGTCCTTGTATATATTCCCTCTCTCTCTCTTTCTCTCTCTCTCACCTTTGAATCTAATCACGACGAGTTAAAGAATCCAACTGCCTCAGCCTGATAGATCAGATCCAATGTGAACGATTTCGGAGCTGATTTCTTTTTCCTCTTTAATTTTGTGAACTGTTTGGGCGATGCGTAGCTTCAATTGACGGCAATCGGAGCAACTTTTCAAGAATTAAGAGAGAAACGGTGCCCAAAGTCCAGGAATCTGTTGTGTGAAAGCTTAAATTCTAGTTTTATACTTTCAAAAGGAAAATAGAATAAACCATCTCCAAGGATCCAAGCAAACAACTATAAGCTGCAAGTAAGTATCGATTCTAAAGCCTTCCTTTTTAAAACTCTATAAATATCTCTTTTTAGCTTAAAATTCATTCAATGTCTGTGTTTAAGCTTCAAATTTGATAGCTTTCAGTGATATCAGTAAGTTAATTCGAACTAATTTTTGTTTTTATGTTTAATTGAGCTGCTAGTTTAGTATAACTACAATTACTGGAAAGTAGAATAATTTATGGTAAATTATGGTGATTTGCAGGGAAATGGCAACACTAGTTGAGCCTCCCAATGGGGTCAGGCCTAGAGGGAAGCATTACTATTCAATGTGGCAAACATTGTTTGAAATTGACACAAAGTATGTGCCAATCAAACCCATTGGTCGAGGAGCATATGGTGTTGTGTGTTCTTCTATCAATAGAGAAACAAATGAGAAAGTTGCCATAAAAAAAATCAATAATGTATTTGAGAATCGAATTGATGCACTGAGAACTTTGAGGGAGTTGAAGCTCCTTAGACATATTCAGCATGAAAACGTGATTGCTTTAAAGGATATTATGATGCCGACTCAAAGGTTGAGTTTTAAGGATGTTTATTTAGTTTATGAGCTCATGGATACAGACTTGCATCAGATTATCAAATCTGCACAACCACTGTCCAATGACCATTGCAAATATTTTCTCTTTCAGGTATTAAATTGTCTCTTTATTTGTATGCTGAGATGCTTTCTTGAAATTGAAATAATATATGATCACTCTGTTATAATATGCATTTTTATCTGGGATTAAAAGTTATTCTTTGTCATGCGTCAGCTTAACAGTTAGATGTTTTAATCTTTCATTTGGCATAATATTTGTTTGCTGCAATGTAAATATAGAATATCTGTTTATATGAAAATTATAATAAGAATAGAAATGTAGCAGACGGCTCATGAATGGACTTTATTTAACAGAGTAATAGTAAGTGCTACTGTGTTATTGCTTCTGAATTTAAAGGGGCACTGAAGTAGGTGAAATTATCAACTTGCAGCTGTCTTTGTTATGAGAGTTTATGTTTGGTAATTTTGGCTCTACTGCCAACTTATACTGAACTTATACTGAATCTACAAGTATCTCCAAATGGCAAAGTTGCTTGTAAGTCTAGTGCTAATTGGTTATTTTGCTTAATTGTTTATTTTCAGCTGTTTTTTTTTGGTTCGTGGGCATTGCTTTCTTTGATGCTCATCTGAGCCCTTCTTATATGTAAATTTGCTGAAGGAAGTCGACGGTTTCCAGTCCTCTGGATGATATGGGCTATAAAGATGTAAATCAATCAATGAATTCTTAATACCTCAAGACTCTGATAGTCAGGGGCAATCTGGGCCAGTTGATGTATGCATGGCTTAAAGTCTTGGTTCAGTCCTGTTGCGTTGTAAATTTCTATTTTTACTCCTTCAACGAGGGATTTTGATTCACTTGTATTGCTATCCTTGAATGTGATAAGTTTCCCTTTGTCCCCTGTTATTACCTTTCAAGGTGGGCTTTTAATCCGGGAAAACAACGTATGGTTGAAAACTTGATCGTTACTAAGAGTTGCCAGGTCCAAGAACTCCCATGACTGTTTTCTCGACAATATAAGTATATAACTTATAACTTTTTTATAAAAGCCTTCTCTGTGTGGCATTTTTAGGCTTCTGAAAGCAGTGTTATAGAAAACTATAGGTAGTTTTCCTTTTTTTTTTTCTTTTTAATTTTATTTTTGGGTAACTAATTCTATTTGATGTTTTAGTTGCTACGAGGACTGAAGTACCTTCACTCAGCAAACATCCTTCACCGTGACTTGAAGCCTGGGAACCTCCTTGTCAATGCTAACTGTGACCTCAAGATATGTGATTTTGGACTGGCACGAACCAGCAGAGGCAATGAACAGTTCATGACTGAATATGTTGTCACCCGTTGGTACCGTGCACCTGAGCTACTCCTTTGCTGTGACAACTATGGAACATCAATTGACGTTTGGTCTGTAGGATGCATCTTTGCTGAAATTCTTGGTAGGAAACCTATTTTCCCTGGAACAGAGTGCCTTAACCAGCTAAAACTAATAATTAATGTCCTTGGAAGCCAACTAGAAGCTGATCTTGAATTCATTGATAATCCAAAAGCTAGGAGGTTCATTAAATCACTCCCCCACACCAAGGGTACACACTTCTCCCAACTTTATCCCCAGGCTGATCCTTTAGCCATAGACTTGTTGCAAAGGATGCTTATTTTTGAACCATCTAAGAGAATTACGGTCACAGAAGCACTCCAACACCCTTACATGTCAGGGCTTTATGATCCCCGTTGTAACCCACCTGCCCAAGTCCCAATCAATCTTGACATTGATGAGAATGTCGGGGAACAAGTGATTAGGGAGATGATGTGGAATGAGATGCTTCATTACCATCCTGAAGCTGCATTTGTCAATGCATAGGTAATGCCCTTGTAGCATCCTCTGATAATGTTGCTTCTTTACCATGTATTAATAATTTAAAAGAAGAATTTAAGTGAACTGTGCTGTTGAAGTAATTCTGCTAAGATTTTAGTTTAGCAACTTGTTTATTAGTTTGAGTTCCTTTCGAAGGACATGCTTCAAATTTTGTAAATATGTAAGATGCTACTTTTGTAGTTTAAAAACATTGGCTGTTGTATTATTTATGATGTGTGTGTATGACATCTAAGTCCTAATATTCAAGTGAAAGAATTAAAGATATCGGCGATCGATAATTACGGTTATGATAGAATTATTAATGAGATCTCATTATTGGTTGTCTGCTACCTGTAGAGTTAACACACTGTTCTCTGCTTTGACACCCATTTAAGGGGAGCTGATATACTTCTTATAGTTAACAATTATTTCACTGAATAATGTATCGTTGGCCGAATCTTTTTTTGAATTAAGCCTAATGTTTGGGAGATACTAGACTTGTCTTGAAGGTTAAGAAAAATCTGAGAAAAAGATTCTTCTGAGTCTGCTTTTGGAACTTGAAAAGGTATGTTAAGGTGAAGATATCTCAACTTCTTCACGCAGTGGCAGAGCGGGAAGATTATCTTACAAGCTTTGAAGGTAATTTCTGTTTCAGAGGATTGTGTTATGATTGTGAATATCAGATTCCTAGCCAGATTTTATATATATGTTATCGTATCATATGGTTAACATTTGGAAAACCTCTTTAGTTTCAATAAAGGTGAATTCCATTATTCGATCTTATAATATTTGGTCTAATTAAGTATGAAATGTGTGGATTTAGGAAATGAATGGAAACCAAGGGGCTGCAAATGGGTAGAACCCACGAATATGAAAGAATGTATATCAGACCTTTATCCATCTAGAAAAAAGGTTTCATCCTATTTTTCATAATCAACTGAATCTGTGCGTTATTAGGCGAACTCTCAAGAAAGCAACACCAATCGGTCAACCTCATAAAAGGGACAAGTAGTGTGGACACCAAACGCAAAGTCAAGTCTGAAATTGTAATTACTGTTAGTACACTCTAGTTTTTTTTTCTTATCACCAACGTTGTCCAGGTCAGTTTGTGTGTATCTCAATTAATCTCCCAAATATTTTTTTTTTTAATCATCAGGGTTATCGAAGCCTTAGTGGTCATTTCTATTAGTGTTTATGAGACTCGAATTTAGGAGTTCATGAAATTTTCTTTTATTTTTTTACTATTAGATCACTGGGTAGTGGTTGTCTGTTCCAGTGTTACTACTCTAGCATTGAGATGGGATGGTCCAACGGAAACTAAGCCTTCGAAAAGCAGCCCCCAACCCACCAATAGTGTAAAGTGAACTATAGAGGTTATCAATGAAGTAGTGATATAACATTTATTTGATCACTTATCAAGCATCTCAGATCATCTTTTTTATCTTTGAGTAACTCAATTTGAATGCAAGCCATCTCATCAAGATGCAAAATTTAAAATTTGTTGGGTTTGTACAGATTGTTTAGGCATCCTCATATTTCGCTCTTTGATTTTCTGCTCTATACTGATCTGTTTTCCACCAATAATTGCTCATCTTGAGATAAGAAAAGACAATAAATTTGAGGCCATTAGCAATTTCCACAAGAATTCCTGATACACAACCATCTAGACATAGTAAATTGAGATTCATGTTAAGGGAAAAATTGACTTGAAAACAGAAAGGCAAGACGAGAAAAGATTCAACTGAACTGGAATAAGAAAACCCACGTGGTGATTATCCTTGTACAATTCACCATCTTCATTTTGCGATAATGTCCAAGTTGAATGGGCCATTTCTGCCTCACAAACCCATCTCCATTCATTATCTTTCATCCCACACATTCGCACTGAGCAAAACAAACCCCATCAACACTACAAATTTTCACAACATAAATCATAGAAAAAACTCCTTTTCTTTTTTTACGTTTAGGAGATTCATCTCAAAATTTTTAGGATTATTGTCCTACACCTCCCCTGAGGTTTCAGTTTCGTTTCTCACACCCCCAAAAGTATGAAAAACTAGCCCTGACCTCCTTTAACATTAGAAGAATTCAATTTAAGGTTTGAAATCAAAATCTTAAAAAATAAAAAATAAAAAACACTCAAAAAACTGTGTAAAAAAAATAATTCTTACTTTCCATCGAAGAGAGCAACATGTGATAGTGAAGCCACTAATCCTGCAAAGCTGAGCCCATAGTTTAAGGCGAACAAGACACTTACATAGACTCTGCTGTTGCTCTTATAGGCACCCACGTCAAGATTGAAGGTTTTCTGATTGAGGATTCTGGAAACATTGTATACTTGACCAGAATAGTCGAAAGTTTCAGAACTGAAGAGGGGAAATCGTTTGGCGTCGTAAATATTTGTCCAGTAAGCAATTGGAAGCATAACATAGATAACCAGGATAAACCCGATTAGCATATTGACAATGGCGAACAAGGGGAAGGCTAAAGCACTTGTTAGGAAGGAAGCAACAGTGGACCAGTCGGGGCCAAAGGAGCCGATGCCTAGACCATTCAAGCCTGAACCAATCTGTTGCATTGTGACTGAGTCTGTCTACATCCAACAAATGAAGGAGAGAGCTGATAAGGAAGGGAATAAGTATCCTGGAACAGTGTTATATGCGAAGCTTGATACCAGGATTATGATAAAGAATTGTAGCCTTGAAACTCCTCCTCTAGGTCTCTCCTACTCTTCATGCAATGCCCTGCAGATTTTAATTGAAATACTCATATGAGTTACTGTATCAACTATCGAGGTAACGTTTCTTTACCAGGATTTTCGAATCATGATTTAAGGATTGCTTGAACTAGCTACTCGCTAATAATCCAGATATAGTAATATTAACTTGGTGATTTACCAGGTAATGTTACCTTACCAAGATTTTCTAATCATGGTTTAAAGATTAATTAACAATAAACTGGTGATGCACGAGATAATGTTACCTTACTAAGATTTTCTAATCATGATTTAAGGATTGATAGAACTGCTTGCCAATAACCCGGATAGAGTGACATTAACTTGGTGATGTACGAGGTAATGTTATCTTATCAGCATATCCCAAAATTCTCAGCTAGACAAAACTATATAATTGAGAATCTTGAAACGTGAACCTCAGATTTACAAGTCATCAATCTGTGAAGGGTCACTTCAAATTATATGGCATTATTTTTATGAGTTCACATTTACCCCCAACAAGCTCATCTTATGAGACTTGATGTGGGCACACTGTCCTTTTGCAATCTAAATTTAGAAGTTATACGGTCATAAAGATGTACAGAATATTTTTTTTTTTAAGATTTTTTAGGTCCTTATGCTAGATCTCCAACTATACATTGTCTTACTATTTGCTATTCCAAACCATAACACTGTAATTGATAAACTACTGTTTACATGATTTATATATTATCGGTTGGATAAGAACTACAGTAGTTACTTCTATTAGCGACCAATGAGGGATTCAAACTCAATATCTCTTAAATAATATATCTAAAAGTCTCTATCGAATCACTCGATCACCCAAGAGTTGGTTATATATATGTATATAGTTCTACATAACATTACGTCTCATTTTGTTTCCGTAAAAATAGCTCCTCCTTTTATCAATCACTAGCATCCAGTTGTTATTGTTGTTGATACAGCTTGTTTATCAGCATATTATGGGTGTTACTAGAGGAATTTCTTTTGTAACTGCAGCCTTCAGAAGGCTGAGAATCTCAAGCTCTGAAGAACAGTCAGTAGATGTAAATTCCAAAAAAAAGAAATCTGCCCAACTGGGAATCTGCCCACCAATGCCGTAAGCGAAAGCAGAAGGATTTGGTGGATAATCAGGAAGTCGATAGAGAGTCAAAGAAACAAGAAAGAATGATATCTAATAGGGAATCTGCACGCCGATCCCGTATGCAAAAACAAAATAATCGATCATCTAATGGCTCAACTATACCGCATCAGGCAAGAAAGAAGCAGTTCCTCAACGATATCAACTTCGTTACTAAACTTTACTTGAATGCTCAGCATGAAACACCATTCTCGAGGCTCGAGTGGCTGAGCTCACCAACGCAGTCAACTTTCTTATCCACGTCAAAAATCATGAGTTTATCACCCCACTACACGCAAAATTGATAATGCTCCTCATTTTAAGATCCTAGTAGTGAGATGCTGATTGATGGCTGCTTTTTGGAGACCCATTCATTCTTTCAACATATTAATAAACCCATCATGCCTCAGCTGATATTATTTATACCATTTCCTACTAGACCATTTCATCAACTACATCGTTGTTGCATGCAGTTAATTGTTGTTCCTATTACTATTTTTTTTTTTTTTTTTTTTTTTTTACAGTGGGTTGCTGTGTCAGCTTACGTGCATTTCAACTAATCTCCCGTAGTGTTGGGTCAACTTACTGCACTTCACTAATCCCCAGAGGTGTCTGGATCAGCTTACGTGTACTTCAACTACTCCCCCGGGGGTGAACTTCAACTAATCCCCAAAGGTGTCTAGGTTAGCTTGCTGCACTTCAACTAATACCCTCGAGGGTGTTTGAGTTAGCTTACATGCACTTCAACTAATCCTTGGGAGTGTTCAGGTAAGCTTACGTATACTTTAACTAATCCCCCGAGACCTTGGAATTACTGGTTGGGTAAGAACTCCATTAGCTACCCTATTAGCAACCGAGAAAAGATTCAAACTTAGGACCTCTTGAGTAATATACCAAGTGTTTTAAACACTCGGCTACCCCTACTACAAATATTATTGTTAGAGTAAACGACTTTTTCCCACCAAGGTTTACCTTAATAATACTTTTCCACCCAAAAGTTTCAAAATACCACTTTCCCACCTAAAGTTTATATCCGTTTACTACCACCACAATACACTTTCCGATTTGGCGGTCAACGGAGAGCAAACTCGATTCAAGCTTTAGTACTTTTGAAGAGGGGATGTCGATAAGTCTTTGGTGGTGCAGATTGGATTTTGGTGGTGGCGAGTTGATCGAAATCTAACTTAGGAGGGTAGTTGCGCGTTTCACAAATCGCTCGATGTCGTGATTGGTAGGTCGTATAGCAACTAGCAAGGTTTAAAGGATTTAGTGAGTGATGATTAGAAGAAAAATGATAATATGTGGGTCGTAAAGATGTCGGAATCGACTGGTGATTGTCGGATATAAACTTTGGGTGCGAAAATGATTATTTAAACCTTTTTGTGGAAAAGTTCATTAAGCAAACCTTAGGTGGAAATAGTCGTTTACTGTAATTGTTTTATGTTTCCTTTTGTTTACGTAGGTTAAGAAGAAAGAAAGAAAAATAAAATCTATTTTCGGGTATCTACTACTGGGCTTTAACAGCTTTTGGTAAGCTTACTCCATAACTTTCAGTCCAGCCCCAAGCTAGAGGGAGATTTTGGTAATTAAACGCATGGCTACCCGTTTGAGTTAAGCGGGTAAAAGCAAAAAAGAAAGCAAAAACAATGGCAATCAAAAACCCTAGGAAATGGCGGTTCACATGGGAAGCCCAATCTCACTCTCCAACCCTCAGATTATTCATCTTCGATTCTCAAACAAATCCATCAGTTCAATGTCAAGACCTCAAAGTCATCCTCAATCTCTCACAATCTCACGTCGTCATTACGTGGGTTCATCAACAAGGGACGCTAAATGAAGTCTCGCTTTTGGCTCCGTTACCCAAAGTTCTCATCGACTTTGACTCTCCAATTAGCTACCGAGCATTGAGTGACCACATTGAAGTCAAGCTCCTGCTGCTTCTTCCTGTCGATCACCCTATTGTTTCTAGCATTGATTCAGTACTTTATTTAACAGAAGATATTCGAATTGCGTCATCTGACGTGGCAACGCCACTCGTCATGGATTCTGGTAAGTGAAAATATCCAGTTGCTCCGTTTGTTTATAAATTTGTTTTTTTGTTCACCTACTGAAACTGCTTGGTTTAGATTTAAAGAGTCTGTCGGCAAAGGCGGAGGGAGTACATTTTTACTGCAGAAGTTGCTCGACTAGGTTGACTAGAAGACCTCTTAGGTAAGAAGTGGCTCTTAGTTTCATCAACTTACAGGCCTTGCATTTTACTGGTCGATCGATTTCAATATTTTTATGTAGATTCTACTTTTTTTCATCTTATGGTGTATACAAGGACAGTAGCATTTCATTATATGATTGCAAATTGAAATTCTATGATGAGTGCCTCCGCCACCTGCTTTTATGGTTGGTCGTCCCTCTCCTCTGCAGTTCTGCAGTGTTATGTATGATTGACTACTTTATTTTTCATTATTAACTACAGTGTGAGCTTTCTTTGATTTTCATGAGATACCAAAATGGATCTGTGGGTGTGTTAGCTTAAAAGAAGTTGAAAACATTATATATTTTGATGAAGTTTCTATTCATCATTGAGAATTTATTTTGAACTGCATGGACAACATTTATAAGAGAAAGTATTTAGTATATTTTATATATATGGAATTTCATGATTAATTGAATTATTACTGATCAAGAAATTGATTCTTTCATATATTTTAGTAATTTTGTTGGCATGAGAATATCTGGCTATTTGCATGCCTCATATATTCAGTATTGTCATGTTTCTCCTACTAACAAAGGGTGTTTTTATAATCCTAGAAATTACTACTACGGGAGTTCAGTATATCATAGTAATATGCGTCTAGGTATTCCCTCCCCTTTTCTTCCACTAGGACACAAGTGTCATCTGTTTTTTTTCTTTCTTTCCTTTTTTTTTTTGGGTCAAATGTCTCTGTAGATTGTCCTGTAATATTAATATTGTTTGGCTTGTTGGAACTCCACTATTACTGATTGAGTACCAGAATATGACAGTAATCATGCTAGTTTAGTATTCTGTGTTATGTTTCTTGCATAAGTGTTTGGCAACATTAATATTTCATTTTCCTTTTGTTATTTCAATCCTTAAATGTAGACATTTTGTGGAAATGCCATCAGTTAACTGGCAAGAGACGGCTGACAACTGGTTTGGAGCTTGCTGTTGTTCATTTGGTGGGATAAGTGAGAAGTTGGTAACCAGGTATGCAAATTCCTACATATGTGTAACAGATATGTGCCTGTTAACGCCCACAACTGTTACCCTTTTCAAGGGTGATCTTGAGGGATGTAAATTTTCTGACTCTGATAATGGCCAAAAGTACCAGCCAGTACTGGATTGTAATGTTGAAGATTGTTCTAGTGAATCAACACAAGCCTCTGGATGTAATCATGGAAAACTTGCAGGCTGCGACTGTCAAAGCGATAAAATGCACAACCTTAATGGAAAATTAAGGCTCATGTCTCTTAAGAATGAAAATGTTAGTACAGACCTTAAATGTGAAGTTAATGAGGGAGAAACTAATGGCAACAACCTATTTGGTATGTTACCAATATCTGATTTATCTGACAATGTTGCATCTTCACCTGGATGTTGTGTTCATACATGTGAAATTCCAGAAAATTGCGAACGTACTGTGCCTGAATCTTCTCCACTAGATCAAAAAACTATGAGAACTATTGAACTAATGGAAGATCAGAGATCTTTTCTCAATGGCTTTCTTGGAAATATTTTCATGGCCAAATCCTACAATGTCTCAAAGAATATTAACTGGGTTGAATATTCATGTCCCCAGTGTTCATCTCTTCTTGGAGCTTACCCTTGTAGTAGTGGTGATGCTCCTATAGATTGTGGCGTTCGACTCTTTAAGTGTTACCTTTCCACTTGTTTGCCAGTCGGTGGATCAGGTGACATGTTTCGGTAAGCTATTGTTGATTTACATTGTGACTGACACGTGTGATCTCATATGAGAACAAATAAGAAAGAATAAGTCTTTTCTTTTAGTTGCTGGCATGTAAATGAGTTTTCTCTTTGTCAACAGGAATTATACCCTGGAAAGAATGTTCACAAATCAGCTTCTTGAAAGTGCCCAAGATGAATTATCATTTCGGACAGTGGTAAGGGATTTGAACACCAAATCTACCATGCTACAAATTGTTCTCATAAATCCCAGTTCTTGGTGCTGTACTGGTTATTGTTTGGGTGAGGACAGCTCCATGGAACCAGTGCTCAAGTTAGATCTACACCCAATTATTAAGGTGTTGTTTTCTGATTGCAGCAGCAATTCTGAATCTCAATCAAGGTTAGTTTTTATTGACTTGTAGTTTGCGCTTCATATTTTTCAAGTGATTGAACTGAATTCTCCATTCTCTGGATCTGATTAGCAAAGTGATCTTCCTCTCTCCTTCTGGGGTACAGGTTGCATGTATATACTGACCTCTCTGAGATACTAGAGCATTTGACACTTTTTAGTTACAATTTTATATAGTCTGGCAATAAAATTTACTAGATGTTATTTATCTGATATTTTATCATGTCTTTTTTCGAAATTCATGTTCTGCTTGGAACAATTTTAGTTTATTGTTCAATATTTTGTTTATGTTTGAATTAGTAAAAACATGATAAAGATTCATCTGTGTTTGAAAGGCTAACAAAAGCCTGCCTCTATTTTTCCCATCATAAGCAATCAGTATATGTGGCATGTCTTGGTAGAGTGATCGTATCTGTTACAGTCCATCTGTACTCGACTGTTTTTCCATTAATTACTTTCAAGCTAAGGAATTGAGTTCTGTGCAGGATGTTAGAAGATTGGCTAACAAAGAAACTAGCTGATGAAGTTTTCATGTGTAGACATCAAATAGAAGAGTTGATTGAAGTTCTTGCATCTGTAAAGGATGTTCTTCCTCCTTCATGTTCTTCCATCCAAGGTTTACCATTGTCATCGATGCGGAGGTAATGATTATCTGTTGGGTTAGCTATGACCCTCTACCGAAGCCCAGTTTGATAAATGGAAGGGGATTTGAAATTTTTAATGTAAAGCAAAATGTATTTTTCCCTGTTTGGGGAAATATTAGATACTATAATTTAATTTTCTGTGATGATGCTGGACAGGCTGAACCTGTTTAAGAGGTGTAGAAGAAATTATAAATCTTGTTTTTTTGTAAGACTGCTTAATTGGCCCTCCATCTTGTAAATGTGTTCTGAATCCTTTCAGGAAAGGAAAAGTTATTCTTGAAATTAACGTTTTGAAAAAGACTCTCCAAATCCTGAAAGTCTACTGTAGTTGACAATGCCCTAGTAACCCATTAAATATTAATTAGTAACCCAATGAAATATATAATAGAGTTAATTAAGGAAAAATTGATAATTAACCAATCTATGTTTACTGTTTCGGTTTCAATTAGTTCATTAACTCATTCAGCATCTACTTTTACTAGTCTTATAAGACTTTATTTATCAAATTAATGTTGAAATTATTTAATAGCACTTCATCACAAAATCATTATCAATTAAAATTTTAAAATCATTGAAATATAGACTTAAGGTTAAATGCATAAGATTAAACTACAGTAGGCAAAGAAGAATTTCAGATAGCAATCTTTTACTTTCGTTTGAAAAGCAAAGTTGTATCATTTGTGTTAAGGCTTGTGTGAGTTGTGTCAAATCAAACGAAGAAGGGGAAAAGTAAAGGTAAGGGTTGGTTAAAAAAGAAAATTAAAATCAGTTTTCTATTATCTTGTGGACAACAACTACATCGTTTCCCTGGTTGGTTTCCTTATTTTTTTTCTTGGATTAATTACCACTCACGTATACAAGAACCTAAAACAAAAAGACTATTCTTACACTACATGATATACATCCAAAAAGAAAAAAACATTTATACTAATGTAAAATTTATTATATATAATCATAGTTTAGTTGTGTCAAAATCAGTCACCAATCACAGCAAGACATCAGTCACCAATTAAGATGCAACAACAACAAGAGCCAAAGAAATACAAGGTATCATCAACTCACCTTGATAATCAACATCCATCTTAACTTAGCTATCAAGTTAAAATCTGGATTGTGTTACAACAAGATCAAGAGCAATCTGTCAAGTAATCATCACCTTGAAGTTGGCTACATAACATCCTATTAAAAAGGAGAATGAATGCATAAAAAGGCTAGGCATACATTCGAGTTGAAGCAATTATTTTTTCTCTGTAAACAAAGCATTACTCCATCTTTGTACATCTCACAGGCGATATTAAAAAAACAATCAGAGAATAATAAAATATCAGTGGACATAAGACTTGCTTACAGCATCCGAACTACTCTAAAAATATCTCTTGTCAATCTTTTATTTATGTTTCCTTAAACACATATCATATTTGCATCATAAACACTCCCACAAAAACTCACGTGTTGATTCGTAGCAGTTTGCATGCGCTTATTTCATTGTTGTCAAAATCACGCATCAACAAGTCTAATTAAGAAGAAAAGATGAAATATGCTCGACTTTCATTCTCTTTCACTTGAACCTTTCATCATAGGCTTCAAAACTCAAGATATAAAAGGCTACGTTTGTTTCATTTTTTCATATCTTATCCCATCCAATCCTACCCAAAATACATGTTTGTTTCAATATTCTCAAAATCATATCATACTCTATTCAACTCTAAATATTTAGAGTTTTTTAACCCCTTAGGTTTGTTAATTTAACTAAATACCCCCAAAAATAAAAGTTTATAAATTGACAAAAATACCCTTAACTACCCATATAGTCCCGATAGCCGGCCACCACCGCCAAAATCTGCCGAAATGGTGGTCCTATGTAAAACATGGAGGGAATTCTAGGTATTTAAGCGTTGAGTTGGAACTTGCACTAATAAATGAGAAAGTACAAGAGTTGAGTTGGTGCAACAATTAATGGAAGCAAATTCAAGCGTTGGAATTGGAACTTGTTAAAAAAAAAAAAGGTTGCATTAGTTGAATATCAGATAAAGGCCATGTTAGAAGCTAACAAGTCTTACAAGGAATGATTCTTATGTTGTTTTGTTTTCGTTTATGTTTGATGTTAAAAGATTTTGACATTTTAGTTTCAATTCAAAGCTAATTATAATTTCTTGTCTTTATATGTTTGAAATATAATTTGTGAACATTTCCTTTCCAATCCCCCTCCATATATTTTCTTCATTCTTGGCCGACCTTCCCTTTCTCCCTTGAGTTGTTGTGTGGTTGGTTTTGCTTTGTTGATGATGGAAGAAGAGTAGTGTTTGAGTTTGGCCATGGTTTCCAGAGTTAGATTGTCGATGCGGTGGTGTCCCTGGGTTTGGCCGTGAGGTAGCTAGAGTTGTCTTTCCCGTTGGTGGTCATCATTTTTCCCTTTCACTTCAATAGTTTGAATTCAACACCATCCCACCCCCCCAGCAGGGGCCTCCCACTCCTTATATGTAACAAAGCAAAAACATGGAGGGAATTCTAGGTATTCAAGTATTGAGTTGGAGTTTGCACTAATAAAGGAGCAAGTATAAGAGTTGAGTTGGTGCAAACAATTAATGGAAGAAAATTCAGTGTTGGAATTGCAACTTGCCAAAAAAAGGGCTACATTAGTTGAATATCAGATGAAGGCCATGTTAGAAGCTAATAAGTCTTCCAAAGAATGATTCTTGTGTTGTTTTGATTTTGTTTATATTTGATGGCAGTTTCAATTCAAAGCTAACAACAATTTCTTGTCATTATATGTTTGAGATATAATTTGGGGTGAACCTTTCCTTTCCACTCCCCCTCCACATTTTTTCTTCATTCTTGGCCGACCTTCCCTTTCTCTTTTGAGTTGTTGTGTGGTTGCTTTTACTTTGTTGATGATGGAAGAAGGGTAGTGTTCGGGTTTGACCGTGGTTTTGGTGTGGTGGTGTCCTTTGGTTGGCCGGTGGTGTCATTCTCATTGGTGGTCATTCTTTTTCCCTTTCCCTTTCACTCATTTCCTTATATGTAACAAAACAAAAAACATGGAGGGAATTCTAGGTATTCAAGCATTGAGTTGGAACTTGCACTAATAAATAAGAAAATACAAAAGTTGAGTTGGTGTAACAATTAATGGAAGGAAATTCAAGCATTGGAATTGAAACTTGTCAAAAAAAGGGTTGCATTAGTTGAATATCAAATAAAGGGCTTGTTAGAAGCTAATAAGTCTTTCAAAGAATGATTCTTATGTTGTTTTATTTTCGTTTATGTTTGATGTTGACTCAATGTCATCTGTTTTTTTTCTTCTTTTTTTCTTTTGGTCAAATGTCTCTGTAGATGTCCTGTAATATTATATTGTTTGGCTTGTTGGAACTCCACTATTACTGATTGAGTACCAGAATATACAGTAATCTGCTAGTTTAGTACTGTGTTATGTTTCTTGCTAAGTGTTTGGCAACATTAATATTTCATTTCCTTTTGTTATTTCAATCCTTAATGTAGACTTGTGGAAATGCCATCAGTTAACTGGCAGAGAGCGGCTAGACACTGGTTTGGAGCTTGCTGTTGTTCATTTGGTGGGATAAGTGAGAAGTTGGTAACCAGGTATGCAAATTCCTACATATGTGTAACAGATATGTGCCTTTAACGCCCACAACTGTTACCCTTTTCAAGGGTGATCTGGAGATGTAAATTTTCTGACTCTGAATGGCCAAAAGTACCAGCCAGTATGGATTGTAATGTTGAAGATTGTTCTAGTGAATCAACACAACTCTGGATGTAATCATGGAAAACTTGCAGGCTGCGACTGTCAAAGCGATAAAAGCCCAACCTTAATGGAAAATTAGGCTCATGTCTTAAAATGGAAATGTTAGTACAGACCTTAATGTGAGTTAATGAGGGAGAAACTAATGGCAACAACCTATTTGGTGTTACCAATATCTGATTTATCTGACAATGTTGCATCTTCACCTGGATGTTGTGTTCATACATGTGAAATTCCAGAAAATTGGAACGTACTGTGCCTGAATCTCTCCACTAGATCAAAAACTATGAGAACTATTGATAATGGAAGATCAGAGATCTTTTCTCAATGGCTTCTTGGAAATATTTTCATGGCCAAATCCTACAATGTCTCAAAGAATATTAACTGGGTTGAATATTCATGTCCCCAGTGTTCATCTCTTCTTGGAGCTTACCCTTGTAGTAGTGGTGATGCTCCTATAGATGTGGCGTTCGCTCTTTAAATGTTACCTTTCCACTTGTTTGCCAGTCGGTGGATCAGGTGACATTTTTCGGTAAGCATTGTGATTTACATTGTGACTGACACTGTGATCTCATGAGAACAAATAAAGAATAAGTCTTTTCTTTTAGTTGCTGGCATGTAAATGAGTTTTCTCTTTGTCACAGAATTATACCCTGGAAAGAATGTTCACAAATCAGCTTCTTGAAAGTGCCCAGATGAATTATCATTTCGGACACTGGTAAGGGATTTGAACACCAAATCTACCATGCTACAAATTGTTCTCATAAATCCCAGTTCTTGGTGCTGTACTGGTTATTGTTTGGGTGAGGACAGCTCCATGGAACAGTGCTCAAGTTAGATTACACCCAATTTAAGGTTTTGTTTTCTGATTGCAGCAGCAATTCTGAATCTCAATCAAGGTTATTTTATTGACTTGTAGTTTGCGCTTCATATTTTTCAATGATTGAACTGAATTCTCCATTCTCTGGAATCTGATTAGCAAAGTGATCTCCTCTCTCCTTCTGGGTACAGGTTGCATGTATATACTGACCTCTCTGAGATACTAGACATTGACACTTTTTAGTTACAATTTTATATAGTCTGGCAATAAAATTTACTAGATGTTATTTATCTGATATTTTCATGTCTTTTTCGAATTCATGTTCTGCTTGGAACAATTTTAGTTATTGTTCAATATTTTGTTATGTTTGAATTGTAAAAACATGATAAAGATTCCTCTGTTTTGAAAGGCTAACAAAAGCCTGCCTCTATTTTTCCCATCATAAGCAATCAGTATATGTGGCATGTCTTGTAGAGTGATCGTATCTGTTCAGTCCACTGTACTCGACTGTTTTTCATTAATTACTTTCAAGCTAAGGAATTGAGTTCTGTGCAGGATGTTAGAAGATTGGCTAAAACAAAATAGCTGATGAATTTTCATGTGTAGACATCAAATAGAAGAGTTGATTGAAGTTCTTGCATCTGTAAAGGATGTTCTTCCTCCTTCATGTTCTTCCATCCAAGGTTTACATGTCATCGATGCGGAGGTAATGATTATTGTTGGGTTAGCTATGACCTCACGAAGCCCAGTTTGATAAATGAGGGGATTTGAAATTTTAATGTAAAGCAAAATGTATTTTCCCTGTTTGGGATAGAGATACTATAATTTAATTTTCTGCTGGACAGGCTGAACCTGTTTAAAGGTGTAGAAGAAATTATAATCTTGTTTTTTGTAGACTGCTTAATTGGCCTCCATCTTGTAAATGTGTTCTGAATCCTTCAGGAAAGAAGTTTCTTGAAATAACGTTTTGAAAAAGTCTCCAAATCCTGAAAGTCTACTGTAGTTGACAATGCCCTAGAAGTGTAACCCATTAAATATTAATTAGTAACCCAATGAAATATATAATGAGTTAATTAAGGTAAAATTGATAATTAACCAATCTATGTTTACTGTTTCGGTTTCAATTAGTTCATTAACTCATTCAGCATCTACTTTTACTAGTCTTATAAGACTTTATTATCAAATTAATGTTGAAATTATTTAATAGCACTTCATCCACAATCATTATCAATTAAAATTTTAAAATCATTGAAAAGATATACTAAGGTTAAATGCATAAGATTAAAACTACAGTAGGCAAAGAAGAATTTCAGATAGCAACTTTTTACTTTCGTTTGAAAAGCAAAGTTGTATCATTTGTGTTTAGGCTTGTGTGAGTTGTGTCAAATCCAACAGAAGGGAAAAGTAAAGGTAAGGTTGGTTAAAAAAAGAAATTAAATCAGTTTATCAACTACATCGTTGCTTGCATGCAGTTAATTTGTTGTTCCTATTACTATTTTTTTTTTTTTTTTTTTTTTTTAATTTATGACAGGGGGTGTCTGTGTCAGCTTACGTGCATTTCAACTAATCTCCCGTAAGTGTTTGGGTCAACTTACTTGCACTTCCACTAATCCCCCAGAGGTGTCTGGATCAGCTTACGTGTACTTCAACTACTCCCCCGGGGGTGAACTTCAACTAATCCCCCAAAGGTGTCTAGGTTAGCTTGCATGCACTTCAACTAATCCCTCGAGGGTGTTTGAGTTAGCTTACATGCACTTCAACTAATCCCTTGGGAGTGTTCAGGTAAGCTTACGTATACTTTAACTAATCCCCCGAGACCTTGGAATTACTGGTTGGGTAAGAACTCCATTAGCTACCCTATTAGCAACCGAGAAAAGATTCAAACTTAGGACCTCTTGAGTAATATACCAAGTGTTTTAAACACTCGGCTACCCCTACTACCAATATTATTGTTAGAGTAAACGACTTTTTCCCACCCAAGGTTTACCTTAATAATACTTTTCCACCCAAAAAGTTTCAAAATACCACTTTCCCACCTAAAGTTTATATTCCGTTTACTACCCACAATACACTTTCCGATTTGGCGGTCAACGGAGAGCAAACTCGATTCAAGCTTTAGTACTTTTGAAGAGGGGATGTCGATAAGTCTTTTGGTGGTGGCAGATTGGATTTTGGTGGTCGAGATTGATCGAAATCTAACTTAGGAGGGGTAGTTGCGCGTTTCACAAATCGCTCGATTGTCGGTGATTGGTAGGTCGATATGAGCAACTAGCAAGGTTTAAAGGATTTTAGTGAGTGATGATTAGAGAAAAGAATGATAATAATGTGGGGTCGTAAAGATGTCGGAATCGACTGGTGATTGGTCGGAATATAAACTTTGGGTGCGAAAATGATATTTTAAAACTTTTTGGCTGGAAAAGTGTCATTAAGGCAAACCTTAGGTGGGAAATAGTCGTTTACTGTAATTGTTATTATGTTTCCTTTTTGTTACGTAGGTTAAGAAGAAAGAAAGAAAAATAAAATCTATTTTCGGGTATCTACTGGGCTTTAACAGCCTTTGGTAGGGTTACAGCTTACTCCATAAACTTTCAGTCCAGGCCCAAAGCTAGAGGGAGATATTGGTAAATTAAAAGCGTGGCTACCCGTTTTGATTTAAGCGGGGGAAAAAAAAAAAAAAAAAAGCAAAAACAATGGCAATCAAAAACCCTAGGAAATGGCGGTTCACATGGGAAGCCCAATCTCACTCTCCAACCCTCAGATTATTCATCTTCGATTCTCAAACAAATCCATCAGTTCAATGTCAAGACCTCAAAGTCATCCTCAATCTCTCACAATCTCACGTCGTCATTACGTGGGTTCATCAACAAGGGACGCTAAATGAAGTCTCGCTTTTGGCTCCGTTACCCAAAGTTCTCATCGACTTTGACTCTCCAATTAGCTACCGAGCATTGAGTGACCACATTGAAGTCAAGCTCCTGCTGCTTCTTCCTGTCGATCACCCTATTGTTTCTAGCATTGATTCAGTACTTTATTTAACAGAAGATGTTCGAATTGTGTCATCTGACGTGGCAACGCCACTCGTCATGGATTCTGGTAAGTGAAAATATCCAGTTGCTCCGTTTGTTTATAAATTTGTTTTTTTGTTCACCTACTGAAACTGCTTGGTTTAGATTTGAAGAGTCTGTCGGCAAAGGCGGAGGGAGTACATTTTTACTGCAGAAGTTGCTCGACTAGGTTGACTAGAAGACCTCTTAGGTAAGAAGTGGCTCTTAGTTTCATCGACTTACAGGCCTTGCATTTTACTGGTCGATCGATTTCAATGTTTTTATGTAGATTCTACTTTTTTTCATCTCATGGTGTATACAAGGACAGTAGCATTTCATTATCTGAGTGTAAATTGAAATTCTATGATGAGTGCCTCCGCCACCTGCTTTTATGGTTGGTCTTCCCTCTCCTCTGCAGTTCTGCAGTGTTATGTATGATTGACTACTTTATTTTTCATTATTAACTACAGTGTGAGCTTTCTTTGATTTTCATGAGATGCCAAAATGGATCTGTGGGTGTGTTAACTTAAAAGAAGTTGAAAACATTATATATTCTGATGAAGTTTCTATTCATCATTGAGAATTTATTTTGAACTGCATGGACAACATTTATAAGAGAAAATATTTAGTATATTTTATATATATGGAATTTCATGATTAATTGAATTATTACTGATCAAGAAATTGATTCTTTCATATATTTCAGTAATTTTGTTGGCATGAGAATATCTGGCTATTTGCTTGCCTCATATATTCAGTATTGTCATGTTTCTCCTACTAACAAAGGGTGTTTTTATAATCCAAGAAATTACTGCTACGGGAGTTCAGTATATCATAGTAATATGCGTCTAGGTATTCCCTCCCCTTTTCTTCCACTAGTACACAAGTGTCATCTGTTTTTTTTCTTTCTTTCCTTTTTTTTTTTGGGTCAAATGTCTCTGCAGATTGTCCTGTAATATTAATATTGTTTGGCTTGTTGGAACTCCACTATTACTGATTGAGTACCAGAATATGACAGTAATCATTGTAGTTTAGTATTCTGTGTTATGTTTCTTGCATAAGTGTTTGGCAACATTAATATTTCATTTTCCTTTTGTTATTTCAATCCTTAAATGTAGACATTTTGTGGAAATGCCATCAGTTAACTGGCAAGAGGCGGCTGACAACTGGTTTGGAGCTTGCTGTTGTTCATTTGGTGGGATAAGTGAGAAGTTGGTAACCAGGTATGCAAATTCCTACATATGTGTAACAGATATGTGCCTGTTAACGCCCACAACTGTTACCCTTTTCAAGGGTGATCTTGAGGGATGTAAATTTTCTGACTCTGATAATGGCCAAAAGTACCAGCCAGTACTGGATTGTAATGTTGAAGATTGTTCTAGTGAATCAACACAAGTCTCTGGATGTAATCATGGAAGACTTGCAGGCTGCGACTGTCAAAGCGATAAAATGCACAACCTTAATGGAAAATTAGGCTATGTCCTCGTAATAATGGAAATGTAGTACAGCCCTTAATTGTGACGTAATGAGGGAAACTAGGCAACAACAACTATTTGGGTGTTACCAATATCTGATTTATCTGACAATTTGCATCTTCCCTGGATGTTGTGTTCATACATGTGGAAATCACAGAAAATTGCGAACGTACTTGTGACCTTAATCGTTACTCCACAGAGTCAACAGAAACTATTGAGAACTATGACTAATGGAAGATCAGAGATCTTTTCTCAATGGCTTTCTTGGAAATATTTTCATGGCCAAATCCTACAATGTCTCAAAGAATATTAACTGGGTTGAATATTCATGTCCCCAGTGTTCATCTCTTCTTGGAGCTTACCCTTGTAGTAGTGGTGATGCTCCTATAGATGGTGGCGTTCGCCTCTTTAAATGTTACTTTCCACTTGTTTGCCCAGTCGGTGATCAGTGACATTTTCGGTAAGCTATTGTTGTATTTACATTGTGACTGGACACGTGTGTGATCTCAATGAGAACAAATAAAGAAATAAGTCTTTCTTTAGTTGCTGGCATGTAAATGAGTTTTCTCTTTGTCAACAGAATTATACCCTGGAAAGAATGTTTCCAATCGCTTCTTGAAAGTGCCCACAGATGAATTATCATTCGGACAGTGGTAAGGGATTTTGAACACCAAATCTACCAGCTACAAATTGTCTCATAAATCCAGTTCTTGGTGCTGTACTGGTTATTGTTTGGGTGAGGACAGCTCCATGGAACAGTGCTCAAGTTAGATCTACACCCAATTTTAAGGTTGTTTTCTGATTGCAGCAGCAAGTCTGAATCTCAATCAAGGTTATTTTATGACTTGTAGTTTTGCGCTTCATATTTTTCAAGTTGATTGAACTGGAATTCTCCTTCTCTGGAATCTGATTAGCAAAGTGATCTCCTCTCTCCTTCTGGGTACAGGTGCATGTAATACTGACCTCTCTGAGATACTAGAGCATTTGACCACTTTTTAGTTACAATTTTATATAGTCTGGCAATAAATTTACTAGATGTTATTTATCTGATATTTTCATTCTTTTTCGAATTCATGTTCTGCTTGGAACAATTTTAGTTATTGTTCAATATTTTGTTATGTTTGAATTGTAAAAAACATGATAAAGATTCACTCTGTTTTGAAAGGCTAACAAAAGCCTGCCTCTATTTTTCCCATCATAAGCAATCAGTATATGTGGCATGTCTTGGTAGAGTGATCGTATCTGTTACAGTCCATCTGTACTCGACTGTTTTTCCATTATGATTACTTTCAAGCTAAGGAATTGAGTTCTGTGCAGGATGTTAGAAGATTGGTAACAACAAAACCTAGCTGAATGAATTTTCATGTGTAGACATCAAATAGAAGAGTTGATTGAAGTCTTGCTCTGTAAAGGATGTTCTTCCTCCTCATGTTCTTCCATCCAAGGTTTACCATTGTCATCGATGCGGAGGTAATGATATCATGTGTTGGGTTAGCTATGACCCTCTACCGAGCCCAGTTGATAATGAAGGGGATTTGAATTTTAATGTAAAGCAAAATTATTTTTCCCTGTGTTGGGATAGTAGATACTAGAATTTAATTTTCTGCTGGACAGGCTGAACCTGTTTAATAGTGTAGAAGAAATATATAATCTTGTTTTTTTGTAGACTGCTTAATTGGCCTCCATCTGTAAAGTGTTCTGAATCCTTTCAGGAAAGGAAAGTTTCTTGAAATTAAACGTTTGAAAAGCTCTCCAAATCCTAAAGTCTACTGAGTTGACAATGCCCTAGAAGGTAACACCATTAAATATAATTAGTAACCCCAATGAAATATATAATGAGTTAATTAAGGTAAAATTGATAATAACCAATCTATGTTTACTGTTTCGGTTTCAATTAGTTCATTAACTCTTCACATCTTTTTACTAGTCTTAAAGACTTTATTTATCAAATTAATGTTGAAATATTTAATAGCACTTATCACACAATCATATCATTAAAATTTTAAAATCATTAAATAGATATACTTAAGGTTAATGCATAAGATTAAAACTACAGTAGGCAAAGAAGAATTTCAGATAGCAACTTTTTACTTTCGTTTGAAAAGCAAATTGTATCATTTGTGTTTAGGCTTGTGTGATGTTGTGTCAATCACAAAGAAGGGAAAAGTAAAGGTAATGGTTGGTTAAAAAAAGAAATTAAAACAGTTTTCTATTATCTTGTGGACAACAACTACATCGTTCCTGTTGGTTTCCTTTTGTTTTCTTGGATTAATTACCACTCACGTATACACGAACCTAAAACAAAAAGACTATTCTTACACTACATGATATACATCCAAAAAGAAAAAAACCATTTATACTAATGTAAATTTATTATATAATCATAGTTTTTGTTCAAAATCACGTCAACATCACAAGAAACATCAGTCACCAATTAAGATGCCAACAACAACAGAGCCAAAGAATACAAAGGTATCATCACTCCCTGATATCAACATCCATCTTAACTAGCTATCAAGTTAAATCGGGATTGTGTTACAACAAGATCAGAGCAATCTGTCCAAGTAATCATCACCTTGAAGTTGTACTAACATCCTATTAAGAGAATGAATGCATAAAAAGGCTAGGCATACATTCAGTTGAAGCAATTATTTTTTCTCTGTAAACAAGCATTACTCCATCTTTGTACATCTCACAGGCGATATTAAAAAAACAATCAGAGAATAATAAATACACGTGACATAAACTTGCTTACAGCATCCGAACTACTCTAAAAATATTCTCTTGTCAATCTTTTATTTATGTTTCCTTAAACACATATCTATTTGCATCATAACACTCCCACAAAAACTCACGTGTTGATTCGTAGCAGTTCATGCGCTTATTTCATTGTGTCCAAAATCACGCATCAACAAGTCTAATAAGAAGAAAAGATGAAAATGCGCGACTTTCATTCTCTTTCACTTGAACCTTTCATCATAGGCTTCAAAACTCAAGATATAAAAAGCTACGTTTGTTTCATTTTTTCTATCTTATCCCATCCAATCCTACCCAAAATACATGTTGTTTTCAATTTCTCAAAATCTATCATACTCTATCACTCTAAATTTTAGAGTTTTTAACCCCTTAGGTTTGTTAATTTAACTAAACACCCCCAAAATAAAAGTTTATAAATTGCCAAAAATACCCTTAACTACCCATATATTCCCGATAGCCGGCCACCACCGCCAAAATCTGCCGAAAGGTGGTCCTATGTAAAACATGAGGGAATTCTAGTATTTAGCGTTGAGTTGGAACTTGCAACTAATAATGAGAAAGTACAAGATTGAGTTGGTGCAACATTAATGGAAGCAAATTCAAGCGTTGAATTGGAACTTGTTTAAAAAAAAAAGGTTGCATTAGTTGAATCAGATACAAGGCCATGTTAGAAGCTAACAAGTCTTACAGGAATGATTCTTATGTTGTTTTGTTTTCGTTTATGTTGGATGTTAAAAGATTTTGACATTTTTAGTTTCAATTCAAAGCTAATTATAATTTCTTGTCTTTATATGTTTGAAATATATTTGGGTGAACATTTCCTTTCCAATCCCCCTCACATATTTCTTCATTCTTGCCGACCTTCCCTTTCTCCCTTGAGTTGTTGTGTGGTTGGTTTTGCTTTGTTGATATGGAAGAAGAGTAGTGTTTGAGTTTGGCCATGTTCCAGAGTTAGATTGTCGATGCGTGGTGTCCTGGGTTTGGCCGTGAGGTACTAGAGTTGTCTTTCGTTGTGGTCTCATTTTTCCCTTCCCTTCAATAGTTTGAATCAACAACCCATCCCACCCCCCCGCGGGGCTCCCACTCCTTATATGTAACAAAAGCAAAACATGGAGGGAATTCGGTATTCAAGTATTGAGTTGGAGTTTGCACTAATAAAGGAGCAAGTATAAGAGTTGAGTTGGTGCAAACAATTAATGGAAGAAAATTCAGTGTTGGAATTGCAACTTGCCAAAAAAGGGCTACATTAGTGAATATCATGAAGGCCATGTTAGAAGCTATAGTCTTCCAACAGATGATTCTTGTGTTTTTGTTGATTTGTTTATATTGATGGCAGTTTCAATTCAAAGCTAACAACAATTTCTGTCATTATATGTTTGAGATATAATTTGGGGTGAACCTTTCCTTTCCACTCCCCCTCCACATTTTTTCTTCATTCTTGGCCGACCTTCCTTCTCTTTGAGTTTGTGTGGTTGCTTTTACTTTGTTGATGATGGAAGAAGGTAGTGTTCGGGTTTGACCGTGGTTTTGGTGTGGTTGGTGTCCTTTTGGTGGCCGGTGGTGTCATTCTCATTGGTGGTCATTCTTTTTCCCTTTCCCTTTCACTCATTTCCTTATATGTACACAAACAAAAACATGGAGGGATTCTAGGTATTCAAGCATTGAGTTGGAACTTGCACTAATAAATAGAAAATACAAAGTTGATTTGGTGTAACAATTAATGGAAGGAATTCAAGCATTGGAATTGAAACTTGTCAAAAAAGGGTTGCATTAGTTGAATATCAAATAAGGGCTTGTTAGAGCTAATAAGTCTTTCAAAGAATGATTCTTAGTTGTTTTATTTTCGTTTATGTTTGATGTTGAAAGATTTGATGTTTAGTTTCAATTCAAGCTAATAACAGTTCTTGTCTTTTATATGTTTGAGATATATTTTGGGTGAACCTTTCCTTTTCACTCCCCCTCCACATTTTTTTCTTCATTCTTGGCCGACCTTTCCTTTCTTTGATCCCTTGATTGTTTTTGTTGTTTTTTTGCTTGTTGATGATGGAAGAAAGGTAGTGTTCGGTTTGGTCTGGTTTTCGGTGTTTGGTCATTGGAGTTGATTTACCAGAGTCAATTGCCTATGTGGTGGTGCCCTTTGGTTTGGCGTGAGTTGTGTTGGCCGGTGTTGTCTTTCCATTAGTGGTCTCCTTTTTTTCTCTCACTTCAATAGTTTGAATCCTCCCCTGCACCCCTTATATGTAACAAAACAAAACATGGAGGAAATTCGGTATTCAAGCGTTGAGTTAGAACTTGCACTAATAAATGAGAAAGTACAAGAGTCGAGTTGGTGTAACAATTAGAAAGGAAATTCAAGCATTGGAATTGGAACTGTCAAAAAAGGGTTGCATTAGTTGAATATCAATAAGGGATTGTTAGAAGCTAATAAGTCTTCCACGGAATGATTTTTATGTTGTTCATTTAAGTTTGATGTTGAAAATTTTGATGTTTCTGTTTCAATTTTAATTCCAAAGCTAATAATAATTTCTTGTTTTTATATGTTAGAGATATAATTTGGGTGAACCTTCCCCACACATGCCCGCGCCACCCTCCTCCCCCCCCCAAAAAAAAACATTGTGTGGTTGCTTTTGTTTTGTTGATCATAGAATAAGGGTAGTTTTTTGGTTTGCCTATGGTTTCAAGTGCTTTGTCGTCG